GACCATCCTCCCATCATTAGTGACATCCTCTCAGATTCTGGCAAGTCTGACAAGCCACTCTAACTCATCAAAGTAATCTGTGGCTGCCTTATCTCTCATCTTGTATTCTTTGATCCTCTGCTTATGTACTTCTTGCACCATCAGGTCAACAAATTTGTTGTATACTATTTGTTTAAACACTGGCTACAAGAGATATCGGTAGTGTCCCCTAGTTGTTGATCAAAAGTTTGGAGAGATAAAGATCCACCAGTTCTTTGCCTTTTCCTCAAAGTAGAAGGCAGCAAAGACTATCTTGTTTATATCTGTCCTCAGGTATCTGATGTAGACCTCGAAATACTGTTCACAGTCTATAAAGAAGCAGTTGATGTTGTCAGAGACCTCCTTAAAAGAGCAGAGTTTTTGTAAGAGGTCAAGATGACATTAGAGGACTGCAACATCATGGGGTAACACACCCATCAGGTTCAGCCAGTCAGAGAATGAGGGCCATCACCACTCATTTGGTGGCTCTGGGAATGAATGAAGTGAGTTATCATTGGTGACTGGGCTTCCATGCAGCAATTCTTCTTTTCAGATGATGACTCCATTCCTGATGGTAAACCTGAGTCATACTGCTTCAGGGTCATCTCAGCTTGGTTCTTTTCTCATGCCACTACCACTTGCTTCATCAGGTGGGGGCTGGGCCTCTAACAGTCAGCTTCCTTTGCTGGTTCATGAGTTTTGATATAAGGTCAGCATCTCTTTAGATTGTGGTCAGGATCAAGTAAGCCGGGTTGCTATGGAGGAAGATGATGGTGCAGAGTACAAAAACATACTGCAGACTGATGGGGCCTTGTATATGGCTCATTTCAGTGCGATAGGAGGTGTTCACAGTATGAGTTGTATTATGGGTGTTGGCTGGTATGTCAGAGCCCAGCTAACTTGGTCTTCAGGGTGTTTTTTGTTATACTGCTGAGCAGTATAGTCAGTTGCCACATGTCTCAGAATTTTTACTTGTTCATCAGTTGTAGAATTTAAATATAATTGTTCTAACTGTGATGCTATCCAAGTAGCATCATGCCATAGAAAATTTACCCCTCACAGGAAATACTCCTGATATTCCTGCATTCTCACTTTCTGCACTTCTTTTTCCAATGCTTCTTCATCCGTAGTTTCTTCGAAATGATAAGCAAGTTCTCTCCCCATCTGAGGCAAGTCACTGCTCTCAGTTTCCTCTTCCTCCCTGAGCTCATCATCCCCCCCTTCCTCAAGGAGAGAGTTGATAGGCAGATCATAGGAACTCCCCACGTCCTCTGAGGGTTGTATCATTGACTCACTGTTCTTGCTGGATATTCAGCCCAGTGATGGGGGCTGAAGAGTCTGAGGCATTATGATAGGTGAAAGCAGACTGACTTCCAATATTGGAGTCATACCGACTCTCTCCTGCTGCTCTCACCATCGCCACTCACTCATGATAGAGCTGGACATTTCTTCTGTGGTCTTCATCGAGGAGCTGCCTGACAACTCTACTTCCAAGAAATCCTCAGAGGGTGTGGGTGAGGATGTAGGCATTTCCAGAGACCTATAATCTGTAGTGTCTGAGGACAGACTTGTTACTCCTGAATATAGTATCAGCACTAGGGGTTCATTGGGGAGAGAGATATTAGAGGGTCAGGGCTCACTCAGATATGCTGATATCCCCATGTCTTCAGGCATGAGTGCTATCTGCCCAGCATTCTGGGATTCTACTGCTAGCAGTGCTGGATTCTCAGAAGATGGGGGTCAAGACTGAGAGGTCAGCTTGTATGGATGCGAGTATGCTGGTGACCTCTGGCTGTAGTCTGTACCAGTTGGCTGGGTCCACCTGGGCCAGTTGGTTTCTTTTGACCTCTTGCTAACTGTCCCAATTCTGACAATCATATTCTGCAGCTGCTCTTTCCCTTTATCGCTGGCCCTCCTCTGTGAGCTGGTTTTCAAGCTCACTGCATATCAGCTGCAGCTTGTTCTGCTGCCTGTGCTCTTCTTGTCAGACAGCATCATTGTAGTTAAAGGGGACATTAGTGTTCTATGTGGAAAAGCATCGATGGATGATGTTGTCCCACTGTTTTCTAATCCTTCACTCATCATTGAGCTGGTCAGAGGGAGACTGCCCCAGCCCTGCACTGGTTCCAAGGGAGCAGGCTGGAGAGGGAGAGCCAGCAGGCTGGCTGCAAGATATCGATGCATGGGATCTTGAAGCTATCCAAGTGGCATCAAGAGAGTCTTAGATGCAGTCAGCAATCTCATGAGTACAGAAGGCAGTAGTGTCAGGGGATAGAGACTGCTGAAAGAAGTCCTCTAGGAGGTCTTGGTCTTTGTTGTTGGGGATAGCATCTGATTCAAAGATCTCATGTCCTTCTGAGACACGAGAGTGCTGGTTTCTAGATCAGGGAGGGTATTGTCCTCCCATTTCTTCCTGACTATTCTTTGGATTCAAGCCACTAGGTCTGGCTTCAGGTTCATCTGGGGGCTGATAGGTCATTCTTTGGGATTCGGGGATGTCATGGAGAGATATGTTGAGGGTTATGTTTTATAGGATTTGTTGAATGTGTCAAAATTCCTGATAATGTCTTATCATCCAGATGGTGATAGAATGGCATCTCCAGCACAGCTGGATGATCACCAATAAGCCAATCAGTGTTCTGACGATAGAAGCAAGGAGTTCAAAAAACTCGTGATCAAAGTTGGGGTCATTGTTATTGAAAGGAGGCATTCAGTTTCTCAGCACAATTGGGCTTGAGAAAGAGAAGCTACAGCTTCAAGCTAATTGTTAGGCTCAAGCCACACATGATCAACTAGCACATGATAAACTAACATGACTTCATGTTCAAGCCTTCTGTTAGAGTTCACTGTATGTACTGTTGTTGACTCCCTGTGCTTCAAGGCTTTGTGTGACTAGCTTAAGAGTAGAATGAGATGAATAAACTTTAGCTTGAAGCTGGGGTTTACCAGTGAGATCGAGCCTCTTAAATACTATACAGGTTCTGCTAATAATATTACATACTTATTGTGTACTCCTCTGCCTGTTGTGCTCATTGTCCTTAGGCATCGTTACCATTTATAAAAAGGTTGTCTACATCATCAGGCATCATTGTTGTGTCAAAGGACAATGACAGACTTGGCTAGTTGTGATGACTAAGCTTCATCTCATAGTCCTAAGCACTCATTCTGACACCTTGACTAAGCATAAATAGAGGTCAAATCGGGAAAAGAATAGGAAAATCATAACAGGAGGAATACCATGGAAAGATAAATCTGAGGTTACATTTCTAAAGATGATGCAGATCTGTTGGAATGCTTGATAGTGCCTGACTACTCAAGCAGTTATTGATTGTCATCTGTGGCAGAGGATTATAATGGCAAGAAGACTTAACAGCATTCCGATGATGGAGGCTATCAGTTCAAAGAAGTTGTGATTGAGATTGGTGGTAGTGGCAGAGGACATTCAGTTTCTCAGCACAATTGGGCTTGAGAAGGGAAAGGTGAAGCTTTGAGCTAATTGTTAGGCTCAAGCTGCATATGATCAATGGGCATGTGATAAACTATCATGACTTCACATTCGAGCCTTCTGATAGAGTTCACTGTTTGTGCTGATATTGACTCCCAGTGTGTCAAGGCTTTGTGTGTATAGCTTGAGAGTAGAATGAGATAGAATAAACTTTAGCTTGAAGCTGGAGTTACCCAGTGAGAGCAAGCCTCCTTAAATATTGTATATTGTCTGCTAATAATACTATATACTTATTGTGGGTTGCTCCATCTTTTATGCCCATTGTCCTTGGTCATCATTACCATACATAAAAAGGATTGTGGATCATCATGCAATGCTGCTATGTTGAAAGACAATGGCTGACTTGGCTAGTTGTGATGATTAAGCCTCATCCCATGGTCCTAAGTGCTTGTCCTAGCACTCTGACTAAGCATAAATAGGGGTTAAATCGAAGAAAGGATGAAGAAACAAGAAAAATCATAACACATATTTAGAGATATAGTTCTAATACTTATGCAACATAATCACATGAGCAATAAAGCTATAGTTGAAATAGTACAGTATAACAGTGTAATCTAGGGACTTGTTGCTAATCATAGTTGATTAATGGCAGTGTCAAGGATGGAAGGTGAAAGAAAATAGTAAGTGGCACCACAGTGAGCTGGCTTTCAATTCATTATGATCTGATTAATGGGTTGCATATTTAGTGCACATGGTCACTTTTGAGAATTCATGACCTGAAGGAAACCATTATGGAGTACCACATGTAAATCACTTACCACCCATACTGGAGTGGTTTTTGAAGTACTTACTAGAGCCATTAGTAAAGCATAGAATAAGTATATATGCATGACATCTGTTCAAGGATCTACAACTTACTTTTTCCACAAGATGAAAGTTATGTTGACAGAACTGTGTGAGGATCCTCAAAAGGGGGGAAAGTTGTTGTAAGTACAGAGGAGAGTACAGTATAGAGGATTGGATTAGCCTCTTGAGAGAGAGACATTGTGCTTAAATACATTTTGTACTACTTCAAGAGCTTTCTATGAAATACTATATAAGTCCAAGTCAGCTGCCACTGATTCGAGTACATTCTCGTACTCGCTCGGGATTGCTATCCCAACAAAAGTAAACAAGCTGCATCGCAGAAAACAACAGTAGAAATCACGGAAACCGGCGGTTAACCCAGACTCATCGGGCCGAAGCGTCGATCACCACGTGCAGGCATGTCACCTTGCTCCGATCGTGACTGATAAACTTAAACCACGACGCTCATGCCACTACAGATCTCCATTTATTTGTACATCAACAACCGTGTCCATGAAGCACCTTACGTTGTGAAAGACACGGATGGTGCTGAATACGCTGATTTAAGGGAAGCGTTTGCTGCCAAAACGCAGATCCTTGAGGGAACTATATTTCTGTGGAAGGTACTGTCGTCTTTGCTGTTGTTGTTCCCGTTGTTCATGCTTCCAAAGCCACATGAACATATAAATACGAACAGTGGAGGCTCTGCTGACCTGTGGGGCCGACTGCTGGATAACAATTGTCGACTGGATGTATTTTGTGACGAAATAAGGAACACGGAATTAGTCCACGATGTGTTGCCTACGAGTAATCACCATCATCAGGCGGCACTGACTGTTCTTGTTGCTGAGATTACACCTGTGGAACAGACCGCGATATTGCCAGACAAAACGCAAGGCGAGCTCGAAGAGCAACATGATATCCTTGGCGCGCTGGGGAAAAGTGTGTCTTGCAACATGCTCTGACTAACCCTACACACGCAGAGCTCTACATCGCCATAAAAAATGTACAACATGGCATGACTCTATCCAAAAGCGCTAAATCAAGAAACTACTTCGACCACCAAAGCGGCAACACCGATCCTCGACGGTCGTTATGGCCTTCGGCAGATATCAATCCCTCCTCCGATCGAAATCTATCACCGCATCTTTGCTTCCTTCCATGCTTGCATTCGCGATGAGTCCTTGCCCGGTCCCGCTGACGTCGCTCAAGTCACAGCAGAGCTCATGAGGACTGCCTCTCGGATATCGACCAATGAGTTCGCGCGTCAGGGCCCCACCAGGAATATTTTGTCGCAACTGCTCAACCGTCCATTTTTCCAAGAGTTCAACCTCAACAAGAAAAATTCAGACCACATTGTGCAATCCAAACGTACATCTCCCCCCACGCTAGCGGCTGGTGTCATATGCGAAGAAAAGGCAGAATTAGGTTGGAGCGGCGAAGGTTCCATTCAAGGCTCTTTCTCGTATGCTCAGTACTGGACGCTGAAAGACACCCAAGTTTGTGACTTATCTTCTGTTCATCTCCATGCTGATTTATCACTTCTCCAGCACGAACATTTTTTCAAAGCATGCTGCTGCCCTTCATTCATTATCTCCATTGCAGGACCTTGGATTGTCACTCTGGGTGCTGTCTTCACAACTCAGCCAATCGTCCAGCGTTTGACCGACTATCTATAGCTTGGCAATGGTCGTGCTAATGATGACGACCATGCTCTTCGCCTCGCTCGCGTTTTTCAGTCTCTGAGACTAGCCATCGACGACCTTGAGAAGTACTACAAGGAGCTTGGACTCTCAGACCCCCATTCCCTACAGACCACTTGCTTCTTTCCCGACATAACCGAATACGACGACGACATGAAAGTCGTCAGATTCCAATACCTTCGGCCCCTGGAAATAGATGCGGCGTGCGTGACGTTGCTCGCGAAGCTCGACGAGGCGCATGGAGAGGAACAGGTCGTTGTAAAGTTTGTTGAGCGATACGGTGCCGAGGCCCACAGGCTGTTAGCGAGTAAAGGGAAGGCGCCAGCACTAAAGTATTGCGGTCCAATTTCCAGTGATGGCAAGTACTGGTATGGATCCCTTCAAATGGTCGTTATGGGGTTCCTTCGCGGCCAGACGGTAGCACAGAAGTACGAAGTGAGCATTGCGGAGACGGTGCGCGAAGCGGTTCGTGGCGCTGTTCGAATTCTTCACGATCAGTCACTTGTTCATGGAGATATTGGCACGCCAAATATTGTGATCGTTGATGGTGCGGGAGATGAAGGGGAGAGGATGAGGATAATCGATTTTGACTGGGCAGGTGAGCAAGGCAAAGTAAGATATCCACTGCATCTCAGCGACTATATACGGAACACGCTGCGTGTCAAAGACTATGATATTATTACATTTCAGCATGACATGACGATGGTGAATGCGTTGTAGTCAGTCCTGCACGTTGTTTATTGTTAGCACCATCGAATTTGGGCGGTTGGAGCAATCACGAAACAAGGAGTATAAAGAAGAGTTCTATTTCATCAACACTCCTGTGGATTGTGATGAGAATTTATCTTCCGGTAAGTACCTTGCTGATGGCCTAGACTGCTTGGAATGTACTATTGTACAACTAGCTTGCTAGGCTATCACACTAGGTGAGTGTCAAGTTCCTTTGCTCTCGATGGGAACAGCTTCGGCGCTGGCCCTTTCATCGCGTCATAATGTCCGAGACGGTCGTCCTTCAACCTTTCTACATTGTCTCAATGCCCGCATCCTTGTCAGGCATATACCAGGTACTTAACGAATACCCCAGCTTATGTACGGTATTATGACTGACAGTTTTTCAGGAGGGGCGGTGAAGCCAATCTCGACGTCTGTTCCCCCGACGCCTATTTGCCGAATGAATGAAGGAATAACTCCAGCCGCAGAGTAACACCGACTCGGTGCAAGTGGATCCACTGAAGGTTCACTGTCTGAGGCCAAACGCAGATCGGGAGAGCTTCAAATGAGGTTTCACTCTAGAGTAGTCTTAAAGCCAGACTTCCGGACCCAGAGTAGATAAAGGCTCTGAGGGAACGGTAGTTATGGATATCCATCCACTTTCATCATGATGGGAGAAAGCGGTCCACTGTGTGATCCTCATTCTCACGAACGGCTGCTAGAGACCCGAGTCTGAAAGACGTATTCCAGGATCTGCACCTAGGAACTTTTGATTTCCGCGCACGGATAAATTTGTAGGTGCTGATGGTGGTTTGATACGACTCGGAGATGGTGTGGGCAGAAACTCCGTTTGTCCTAGTCTGCCCGAGATAGGTATGGTTTGCAACAGCAGTCGATGAGTAATGATACTTGCTGCTTCGGGCCTGGTAAATAGTGTTTGGAGTGTCCGAGTCGAATCTAGGTCGGGTTAGTCGGGGACAATGCTGACAAAATTCTAGTCCTTCGCAATAGAGAATGTATAAAAAGATTTTTGTTTCGAGTCGCGACGAGTAAAAGACAATCAGAAAACCATGACACATGCTTAGTCATCCACAATCCTTCTTCCCACTGCAAGGACAGCGTCAGGTCTAACGCCATACCACACCACACGCACCACACTCCGTGTTGGCCTTAGCTCTCTTGGATTTGCCTGGATCTACCGCGGCAGAACGCGGGAGAGCGGGGACAAGTCAGCACCGAACAGCTAATGACTCGGCTCGAGAATCGAAATGAGGAAAGAAAAACGAGACAGAGGAGGCGCCAGTATTAATAAAAGTTTCAGATAACGATGAACGTACCTCTCCCCTTTGGCGACATTTTCTGAGTGTTCCAATGACGGTACCAAGGGTCAACAAACTGTAGTCAATGATAATCAGTACATATATCAGAGCAGAAAGGTAAGGCCAACCTAGTGTTGATATACTTCCCTTCCCTTGTACGCTCCTTATCACTCGTCGCCTTTTCTGGACCAGCGAGATCGATAAGACTCTGGAAAGGACGTCATTAGCAAGAATCATGGAGCAAGTAAAAAAGAAACTCACCAAAAACAGACGTCTGCGCACTCCTTCCACCTCTCGCTTGCAGCTTCGGACCAGGCTTACCAGCGGAACCAAGACCCGGTGTCTGCCTTCCACTCGGCGCTGGAGTCACTCGTCCATGGAACGACTCGTCCAAGGCTTCACCACGCTCCCTACTCTCGATCACCAGCCAGAAAACACTATGACTCCGACTGCTCCTCTTATCCCAGTCCGTACAAGCCGTCCGTCGATGGCTTTCCCCGCGCTTCAACACATCCTTGACCCCTTCAAGCTCGTCACAACTTCCTCGCGGAGGGGGTCAAGATGATCTCGCTCCCTCCTTGGATCATCATAGCCGGACTGTCAACAGGAGCGAGGAGATCATGGATGGACTTGTTGCAGATCTCGAGGTAGGAGCAACGAAAGAGATATTCCCTCTCCTTGTTTCGCTTGATGAATCGGAAACATCCTTCATGGCACGGGGAATGATACCGGGTTCACTTTCATTACCAGAGGGTGTACGTCTTCCCTGAGGCGGTCTGTCCATATGCAAAGATGGCAGAGTTGTATCCTTCCATGGCAGCATACACATGCGATTGAGCGACAGTGCTGTAAATAGGTTTGTTCGGTGAGCCAGTGAGTACAGAGTCAAAGTCAAATTTGTTCTCCGCGGGGTTCGGAGCGCCAGACTTTGCATGGAGAGGATCGACATGGATGGAACTGGCGCTCGACGACGGAATCCATGCCGAGTCTGCATTCGAAGGTCGTACCCTAGAACAGGATCAGGCTTGTTATCAGCAGAGACGCCCAAAAAATACATGCCTGATAGAGACTATGACCTTGTCTCACTTCCCATGGTCGGCACTCATCGTTCTCAACCACGCCTCGTCCATCTCAGCAGATACGTCAGCTTCAACAGTCTCCGAATCCACCAGGACCGCTTCAGGGTCGAAATTGCTGACGTCCATCTTGCTCATCGGTGAATCCTCGAACGTCGGCGTTTTGGATCTCTCGTATGGGGTCTTGGGTCGTGGCGACCCGGGTATCGTCGAGAGAGGCTTCGTATAGTCCTTGGCCTCGATTCCGATGACACAGGCGCCTTATAGCGCTCATGCGTCGAGCCTAGAATGTTACTTGTGCCGGAGGAGCTTGATCATGTTCGGTTGAGGCGATTCACGAGGTCACTGCTGCCGCTAGAGGACGACGACGAAGACAGAGGCTTCTTGCTGGGCGTGAAGGGTGCTCTCCGCACAGGCTTTGACGATGGGGTGCTCAACGTGGACATCTGTTGTAGTAGCTGCGGAGGAAGGAGGAAGCGTCGTCGTCGTCGTTGACAAGGGTCTGGATGGTGGGTTAGAGACGCGTCTTGTCATGTGACCGCGCTTTCGGCCTGATCGTTCACTTCCGTTCTGGATTCATACAGTAACAGGTTCTGCCAGCATCTTATAAAGCCGGTTCACTAGGTTATCGAAGCGTATGGCCTGGAAAAGGCCCACTTTATAAATACGAGCTTTACCGAAATTGTATTTCAACTTGATTTCAACCGAGCCTGATGCATAATGACTGAACGCTTCTTTTCAGCTCGTTTTGGTTGCAACGTCCCCTTATGTCCCCAAGCGGACACCCATTGATAGGGCATGGACAACAATATCGACAGACTGGGCATAGTTATTGCTGGTGTTTGGAGCACTGAAGATGGAAATTTTTGGCTGAGCTTGAGCAAGCAGATCCAGTCCCATTTTCACGGCACCACTCTAGCAGATGCATTCGAGGACCGGAGAAACTTTGGTTGGGATGTGTTTCAGATAGTCGAATACTGGGAGGAATGAGGAAAGTTTGTCTGCGTGAAGAAATACTGTGGGATTCGTAGTGTCAACCAATGATACAGAGACATTGAAAGAAGTCAGGGAGTCGATAGGATGATTGGTTTCCGTCCGTGCTTTACGACCGGGTGATGGTCGTCGAAGGTTCAGCTTGACCACAGTGCGGAACTTCGGGAAGAAGCTCCGATGATTGGCACAAGCATGTTCCTTTATGCAGGGTGTTGCCAAACATCCTGGCTTTCTTCCACCACGGAACGGCACTGTAACTCGTGTCGGTAACTATATCTCATTCCTGCTAGCGTGAAATCTAGTCGATCCGCCTCGCAAGAACACGTTTTCGCGGCTCAAGTCTCGCGACGAAGACTTGGGTGCGATGAGCAAGTCGGATACTCAGTCGTGGCGGAACGCGATGAAAGTGAATCCGCTGGTCTGTGATGGCAGAGAGACATGGTACTGAAAGACTGGTCGACATCTATGGATATGCCCAACATCGGTTATTAGAAAGCAAAACAGAAAGAACCGCTTCCTCTCGTTCGGCATGCAGGTATGTGCCCTTTTTGTGGCTTGTATGTGATCACTGATTCTCAGATAGAGCACTCTTTATCCAAAATCTTGACATTTTCAAGCTGTTGATTCTCGCATACCCCAGATACGCTGATTCAATATTGAAGGATGCTGTCGAAATGGTAGGAACGGAGATGACAAAGAGGGACGAACTCCGGGGGACAATGGATAGCGATGAACAGAGGCTGGGAGGAACGGAGGAAATGCTGGGTTGGCTGTCGCGCGAGGTGGTGCGCTATTCGAAGCTCAGTTCATCAAGGTAAGCATCGTTTTATCTCGTCTTCGGTCCCAGCTTAGCTTATCGAAGTGCTTGTGGTCCTTCAGATGTGGGATATATGCATACAACATAATTTGACGTTCTCAGAAACGTAGTCTTGGAGCATCTTGCTCGGATCCATGGCTCTTCTCCTGGATATGATCAGCGACTCTTCACGGGTGGAGGAATCGAAGGAATCTCTCAAATATGCTGCATTGGTTCATACGAGGCGCGCATTCCGTTCAGTGCGTTTTCGTATCTCTCATGTGGCTTCACCGTCTGATAGATCATCAGGCTGGCGGAAAACTGGGTCTCGTCATCGGGGCTCTTCTCAGGGAAGCTAAGGCTACTCACTATCCTTAACGGTTGATAGCTTTGATCGGTGTTGCCGTAGGCGTGCTTGTACGACTAAGGAACATCCAGGTTATCCGGCGCGGTGAAGGTATGTCATTTTTGCGAAATCAAGAGCCACATACTCACTTTATTCTCAAGCTGACTACTTATGTCCAAACATGCTGTTCCTGCCCATGTATTGGCGAGTGTTGTTTGTTCTCGTGGCAGGCGTTGGACTGACTGACGAAATAGGATACGACCTATGATTTCATTCATCATTCAAAGTCAACTTCCTATGGCCCGCCTGTGAAAAAGCTGCCCTCAGGTCGCCAGAATACTCGCTCGATGTCACAATCGGTAACAGCTCGAAGTTATAAGGCATTTTTCACGGCATACTCGTGTCCCCTCAATGACGACTCTGTCCGCCGTGAATCACACACCATTGATTTTGGAGACCACTGTGAATGAGCTGTTAACACTTGCACAGACAGGGAAGACGATAGGACGAGATCATCGCATCGTGCTCTATACCATGCTTGCATCATACTCCATCTCCTCGAGTCGGACTTTCCTCTTCGTGAAGACACATTGTCTTTGATAGCCCAAGAGATGAACAGCCTCAAGCCTCGCATCCGGAGGGCATTTTGTGCTTTGGCGGGTAATGTTCTATGGTCATCGGAGACTTTGGATACGCCTGCGTGGTTGGCTTTTGCTGCTGCAGTCTTACTCTCCTTCGAGAGCAGCCTAAAGACGGTTTCAAACAATCCAAATACTGGCGCATTCGAGGGGTATATTGTGGTGGTGGTTCTGCTTGGACCTTTGGTGCAGGCCGGAAAGTTTGGTACGTCGACAGCCGGTGGTGGGTGTTATGTAGTATTGAGGCCCTATCGTAGATGAATCTGTGGCCCGGAACACTGTGATTCAGGCTGTTACTTCCAGTTCTGCGAAGCCCTCGTTCGTTCTCTCCGAGCGGGTTTATCAGAAGCTCACTGAGTCTGAGGACGAGCTGTGGGATTTGCGTGCCATTGAGGCCGTGATACGGTTTTTTAGCCAGGAAATATCCACCAACGACGCCATCAGGTCCAATGGCTCGTCTGCAGATATCCGAAGAGACATGAACGGAGCGATTGAGTTGTCTGCTTCAAAATTCCCGGAATTGACGTCTGATCTGGTCCGTGATGCACTGGTGGCATTCACTAATTGCAGGCCGCCTTCGATGGCCAAGGTTGACGATGTGTTAGTTCCGTGGAACAAGCCCTCACGACTTGCTGCGTTGCTTCTCAGCTCCGTCGCTTTTCCTGCCGACTGTGGTGTTTCAGTCGAGGAATGAGAGGTTTTTAGAGGCGCTGATTGTAGCCCATCACGAACTCATCTGTCTGTGTATAATCTTCAGTGTTATCTGTACTTGTCTAACGTATTCCATTTAGGTGCTCCGGCTCGTCAAACATGGATTGATCTTTGCCAAAGGGCTGGGACAGATCCCCACGATATTGTTAACAGTCACGTTGATCGGCTTCTCTACTTAGTATCCACCAATACCTTCAGTGAGGGAGTGAGTTCGGATTTATGCGCATCCTTGCTCATGTTGAAGTCGGCTTAGTTTGGCTTCAAAGAGGCCAGCTATCGTGCGGTGACAACATTGGCTTTCGTGTCTCCAGAGAGTGTGGTACCACAAGATGCAAATGCCATCAATGGACTATCCGAAGACGACCTAGGGATTTGGGCAACCCCAGAGGGTACAACCTATGTTGATGGCGAGGTTTCTTCAGTTTGTATCTATGCATGATTCAACTGACAGCCCTTCTTAGTCTTATCATCGTCTAGCAAGGCCATGGAAACCAGAAAAGGCAAAGACGCTGATATCGCCAGGTGGGAAGCCGATTTGCATAAATAGCTAGCCAACAACAAGACTTCCTCCCCTACATTGACGAAACAACAGCAAGCTCTTGTCAGCGCTCAACTGGAGAAGGAGTCCTTACAATGGCGCCGTGTACAATCTGTCAAAATCAATCTAGAACACAGACTACATTTCGTTCGCAGCTTAGTGAGGGCAGGCATTCCGCAATTCAGCGCCTTCATATCGTCAGTGGTCACATTATTGTTGGACGGAGCTGGATCCCACTTGGTCGGACAGATTACTGTTGATGTTTATCTGGTCAATTCTAGAGGTCTTTCACTCACATTTCTATTAACGATGAGCTGTTAGGAACTGGCCCAGTGATGTTCGGAACGTTTGGACATGTTCAGGAAGTAAGTTGGGGTGGCAACTCTCCGCGGATTAAAAGGGAGTATCGTTCCGGAGGAGCTGCAAGCTGAGGCTTTGAATTGTACGTATATGATTGGTTTTCCGCTCATTGCTTGCACTCACTGAATGTGACACAGCTTTAGTCATGAGAGTATTGCACCGTTTGCGATACCTCTCTGAGCAGTCGCTGTTCAATCCCGCTACGTTCTCCTACATCTTTCCTCTCATCCGTCATGTATTGGCTCAAGGGGGAGTCTGCACTGAAGATGGCGAAGAAAATGAAGAGCAGCTTGCATTAGCGCTGCCCACGATCAAATTCCATTGCGGAGAATGTAAGGCGTTGGTCTGATATCATATCGATTAGACTAATGTTTATCTCTTTTTAGTCGCTGATCTTGACTACCCACGAGAACAAACATTAGAAATTCTGATATTAACGACCCGTCAACAACCCAAGCTCAGTCGGGAGGCGTCGTCAGCGCTTATTGACCTCAGCGAGGCTATATATCGGACAGCTTCAAAAAGCAAAGTTGATATTCTGTTGCAGGGGACGCTGTTGGAAGAAGCATACGTGCAAAACTCATGTCTTCAATCCCTTCAGGTGAGCTGCTTGTTCTGAAAGTGTCACAGTAGTATTATGACACTTCCTGCTGTAGCCTTTCGATTTGACGGACTGAGACTGGTCACTGGAACATTGGATAGCTTGCAACGATGACGATGAGCAAAACTCTTCCTGGCAAAGCACGTGTGGGAGGATAACGGGCTGGATGTCCCCGAGACATTCCTCAGTGGACTACTGCCTTACATTAGTAAGCCTGTTAAACGAACAGGTCTATCGCAAGTGTTAATTATGTACAGATCACGATCATGCTGCTATTATTGGAGAAGCTGTTGAACCTTGTCCTCAATCAATCAAGGATACTGTCGCGTAATAGTTTAGTGATCTGCATCATAGGCAAAGATTCTGGCGCCAGAATATGACCAATATGTGAGCATCGCTGCCATCTCCTTCACACCCAGTGTTGATTTTGTTTCAGGGCATGGTTATAGTGCATAGTCTTGATCGCTCTGACCCTTGGCCGTCCCGAGTAGCAACAGCGAGCACTTTCAAGTTGCTATCACAAGTCGAGCCATTCTTCAAGTTTCTCATTCAGGACGAGGCACTGGGTGATCATGAGCCGGATGTTCGTCAAGGGATGCTCTCTGCTGGGACAACGATCATCGATCTCCATGGCGCCTTGTGTATATCGAGTCTTATTGTCATGTTTGAAGGCCACTTTGGCAGTCCTAGTCCGTGCATGGAGCGGTTGTGTCACACGCTATCTTGATCGCGCTGATCCATGCATCCCTAAAATTGTTGACAGACTTATCGAGGCACTCAAAACTCCGGCCGAACAAGTGCAGATAGCTGTTTTGGATTGCCTTTCACCTTTCGTCACCGTTTTTGGTTGACAGTCTCATCGAGGATTTGGCGAATGGTTCGAAATACGCAGCTCGTCGTGGTGCAGCGTATGGTTTGGCGGGTGTCATCAACGGTACGGGGATTGCAGCAGGGATGAAGGAGTTCAATGTGATCAATCATTTGCAGGCAGCTACAGAGGACAAGAAGAGATATGAGCCTCGCCAGGGTATGATGTTTGCCTTCGAAACGCTGTCCAGTTCATTGGGGCGGCTTTTGAACCTTCGTTGGTGTTGGTATGTCGTGTTGATGTATGTCCTCTAAAACATTGCTGACAATAACCAGGTGGTTCCTATTCTCGAACAAGGTCTACGTGCGTGTGGTGCGGATACCAAGAAGAAGAAAGTGGCACAGATTGTAGATAACCTAGCGTCGTTGACAGACTCGCGAGACTTCGTCCCATATCTCTCCGAATTATTACCGATGGTGCGTATTGTACGAGGGCTACAGCTGCGAAAGCGTTGGGAACGTTAGTAGAACGTCTGGGTGAGGGCTGCTTGCCCGACCTCGTACCTGGACTTCTGTGGACTCTGAAAACGGATACATCTGGTGTGGATCGACAAGGCGCCAGTCAGGGACTGAGTGAAGTTTTGTCCGGTCTCGGAATGGAGCGTCTCGAAGGGTTACTTCCGGATATCATCGCGAACGCGCAATCTCCTAGAGCTACCGTTCGAGAACGCTTCATGTCGTTGTGGCCGATGACGGCCGGAAGAATGATCATAACCAACTATTCGAACAGGGCAATCGATCTTCTTCTTTGTGAGCTTGAGCACGGAATGTTTGATCCTGGCTGGCGCATCCGGGTATGAATCTCGCCACCTTGTTTGTTCTCGCTAACCGCCTTTCCCTAGCAATCATCCATTACCCTTGTGGGGGAGCTTATGTTCAAAGTTTCTGGCATGTCAGGAAAAACTTGTGATCTTGATGAGGAAGACGTCGCCGATGTCAGCACTGCAGAGAACTCTCGCCGCGCTTTATCTTGTTCCTCAGCCGTCGATAAAAATCTGGAAGGCGAACAATACTCCCCGGACAGGTACGATGAATCCGTTTGGTAATTAAGAGGTATACTCATTGCTTTTATGTAGTCCGAGAGATACTTCCCAAACTGATCAGTCAAACAATTGTTCTTTTGAGCAACAAGAGGTATGTGGGTGTCTTTGGTGTTCAGAACATCCACTCATGATGTTACAGACTTCTGGTCATACAATAGCAGAGCTCTGCCGCAAGTTGGGTGAAAAGATAGTTGGCGAAATCATGGCTATTCTCCTCAAAGTCAAGGTGACGTCGACCAACTCGCGGACACGGGAAGGCGTCTGCTTGGTCCTGAGTGCAATCATGTGAGCCACCCTCGATCCGAGAGATAGACTGATTTTATTCGTTGTCCAGGGAAAATTTCACCGACGCTCAACGAGAAGACCACGAAGATGATATCATATCCATCGTTCGCGTGTCCTTGGTCGACGACCAGGCTAATGTTCGATCCGCGGAGGCTAAAGCGCTTGATATGTTGCAAGAACATATGAGACCCAAGGCCATCGACGAAACTATCCCTACGCTTCTGGAAGCCCTTCGGCAGCCTGGAGAGAGTTTTGGCACGTCATTGCAAGCGCTTAAGGAGGTCATGAATGTCAGCAGTCTCCATTTCTCATTGTATGTCAATCTAACATTTGATTACAGGTACGAGCGGCGACTTTGATCCCGGTCCTAATTCCAACATTAACGGCTACGCCCATGACCATGTTCAATGCTCACGCTCTTGCTTCCCTGGTCACTGTCGCTGGAAACGCCCTGAGCAAGCGGCTGACGGTCATTACCAGTGCCTTTGTCAAAGTTATCGAAGACGAGAAGGATGAAGAGCTTTTATCTTCGGCGGATGAGGCGACTCGTGCATTGTTCTGGTCAATCAATGACATTGAAGGGTTGAACACTCTCATGATCTTGGGACGGTCGGTGTATCATCGGTATATTATGTGTTAGTTCTAACGTTGTTACTTCAGGTCGAAGCACGATACCCCCAGACGGCGAAAGTTCTTCTCCATCTTCTGTCGCTATATCGTGTAGACTGGATCAGACAGCTTATCTCTGCCATGGAAGACGATTACGAGGATGTTTACGCAAGTGCCTTACAAACCATCGACGTATTCCTCAGATCCGTTCCCAAAGACGAACTTGAATCGCTCGTGGTCCCCTTGGGGCGGAGTATCGAGTCTACAGGTGCTCGTTCCGGTCATTATCGCCGGTCTGACTACCGGTAGTAACGAGCAGCGGGAACAAGCAGCGTATGCTATTGATCATCTCGTGGAACGTACGAAGACACTGCGATCAAACCATTTGTGGTATCTTTCACCGGCCCGCTGATTCGAGTGGCGACACAGGTAAAGACGTACTGACCAGCGGTCAAGACGGCCATTCTGAGTGCACTGACATCGATGTTGAAACGTATACCTGCGTTCGTGAAACCGTTCTATCCTCAGCTGCAGAGGACGTTTGTCAAGGGCGTGAGCGACCCCGCAAGTATTGTCGTCAGGAATAAAGCGGCCAAGGCGTTGGGCGTGTTGATGAAGAGCCAGCCTAGGGTGGATGCAGTTGTGACGGAGCTTATCGCAGGAGCGAAAAGCAACTTTGACGACGGTATTGGTAGCAGCGCAGTGGTGGCGCTTGCGCATGTGGTGAGGAGTGCGAAGGAGAACGTAGGTGAAAGGGCGAGGGAAGCGTGTGTCGACCTTGCGATCGATGCATATAGGGGAAGCTCTGATGGTAAACTTTCTAGATATAACGTGCATTGACGGGTAAAGTTGTAAATTTCTATCCTCTAGAATCATATATGCAAGCTATTGCGTCGTTAGTGGCAGCGTTAACCATCTTCCCAGACAACCTCCAACCGGTTGTAGAGTGCGTATTGTATTGTTCTCTGTCCTCAGTTTTTTCTGGGTTTTTTCTAAAGTAGTCCTCTCCTGTTAACCTGCCCGGCGGAGGCCCAGCATGTTCACCCGAGTGGCAGCCGTGCTGCTCATCCTGTACATCCTCTTGTTCTTCGTCCGACGTCCATTTCTCATAAAGCCGGTTCACTAGGTTATCGAACCGTACGGCCTGGAAAAGGCCCACTTTATAAATGCGAGCTTTAGTGTAATTGAATTTCAACTTGATTTCAACCGAGCCAGATGCATAATGAGAGAACGCTTCTTTTCAGCCCGTCCCCTTATTATTGACAGAAGAATATATGTGAGTATCTACGAATGAGTGTAAGTATCATAGTCATAAGCACAGTAGGGATATACATACCTCAGTCGGGCACAATGTGGGTGAAGCGACTGAGGCATACGGGTAGGAACGGCTGGACTATATAGGTGATCGGGAAACGACAGGAGGTGTAAGCATATATAAGGTAAATAGAACGAGTGATTGAAAAGTAAGATAAGATGAAACGTACGGATATCCTCCAACACTTATGTCCCCGAGCGGTCGGGACGATGGAAGTTTACCTGATTTTTATTCTTTTATCAATTCCTGGAATGGTTATCACTTTGTAAGACTTTGAAGCTTGAAGAACTGACAAGATGTCATCTTCCAAGAGTTTTATTGTCAAGAAATGTTTCCATTAAATATTTCAAGTTATGGAGACACAGATAAATACAATATTTGGCGATAGAAGAATGTAGTTGTACAAGGAAACTAACGTTTGACAAGAAGGTTAATCCAACTCATATTGTTTAATTGCTGTGACTGGGAATCGCGGAATCACCTCCGTAAAGTAGCATGAGAGCAACTTCCAGAGTTTGGTGACAAAACGGCATTCCATCACTGCCTTTTTCGCCTTCTCGGCCTGGCCAAGGCAAACAAGGTCCGGAGAGAAAAGCAAGGGTTGTCCTATGAGTCTCAAGGAGCTTGAAGGGTCTGAAACACATCCAACGAGACGAGTCAAATTGTCCCGCACAGCGTTGAGGCATGGTCGCATATACTCGTTGAAAAGCATAGAATAAAATGGCCATCGTCCATAATGTATCTGACACGCGAGCATCTCAACCTCCACATCAAATTGTGTCCAAATCCCTAAAAAAGCGTCACCCCAATCACTGTACGATACACGGTCAGATTTTTCTTCTTACATTTTTAGGAGAGCAAAATTAGGTAGACTCACGGAGGAATCGGCAAGTAGGGACACGATCACGTATCAACCTGCCCTCAGGAGCACGTGTTCAACAGTCCGGCCGTTCCAATCTCTTACAACTGCTGCTAGCAACTTGTTATCACTTTGTCGTCGACGTTCCACTCTTCTGTCAGTAGCCATACCCTAGATCTCCGGCTACTTTGCTTTTCAAACGATCCTGTTGACTCATTTGCTGTTGCACCTCTCCAACCAGTTCTATGCCTCCGACAGCAGCTCTCAAGTTGCACCATGTTGCCTTGGACTCGCATTGGCCTGTAGAAGTCCACCAGATCTCTACTCTTTTCTCAAATCCTGTTCCTCATTTGAAGTTTTCCGAAACGTATCCTGGAATGACATCCTTGTTCACCGACCTTTTCAAAGAACTGAGGAGCGCCACATCGACCGGCCTTTCAACTGTGGAACCAGAGTCGCAGCCACTTCTTGGTTTCTTGGATATCATCCTAGAAACGGTGTCATCGCTTCGACGAATGCAACAGGACCCTCACCCATTCACCATGCCTATTTGGTCCACCCTAGTCCGAGCACTGTGCTATACATGCTTTAACGACGTCGAGATATAGTAAGTAGCACCATATCTTGTGATATCCATGTTTCTTACCCACTACGTGAAGCAACGATACACCTTTTATTCTTCCCAGGAACTTTGTGGAATCCGTTTGTGATGGACACGCTCTGATGCTTGTTTCTTTTCTGTACAAGAATACGCTACTATCTATGTCGCACTCAGACGCAGCTCCAGGGGAAAGCCCGTGTCACCAAAGCAATCATTCTAACGAGCATCCTTTGGAATCAGGCGTAGTTCTCACAGACGAAGAAGGCTCTGAACTTGTCAGTGACGGCAATGCCCCCGAGGTTGAACCCAATACATGGACTTTTTCATCCGAATCAGACCGTGGATTTGGGGGAGACATATTCGATGAGCCAGACAGTGCCCTCTTTGGTGATCTCTCAGAGTCGGAAGAGTGGCCATGTCACAACCTTTCGCCGTCTTCCAGTACTAGGTCCCTTGATATGTCATTTCAGGCACACGTTCTTCTAGGCAAAGGACGTCGTATGGATGCGGTTCTTCCTGTTATCTGCATTGCGGATAGGGAGAACATCATGGCTCTCATTGCCAGTGTAGCCTACCAACGACGTGTTTGGGGGATTGAAGAGCCCATTGTAGGTGTAATTCTCACGAAGGATGGGTTTTCGGCCCAGGTCATTCTGGGGTGGACAAACCCACCTGATACAGGTAGTGATTCAGAGTCTCCAGATGATAACATGTCTGATGACTTGGTGAGTTTCTGGTTGACTCTGTTCATCATTATGCTAATTCTGTAGTAGCCAATGGTGCATATCGCCTACTCCGATGCAGCTTGTGCAGCCAGTGGTATCTTCAATCTGACGGATCCCATTTCTACACTTTCTTTTGTGCAATTTATTATTCAGGTTCGTGATCATTATAATAAGATTGTACTAGAATGTTGCAAACCTGGCATGCCTGCCAATTCTCCGATTTCCTGGAGATCTGATCTTATTGATCCTTCATGTCTTTCTGATTGGGGGGAAAGGGGAGAAGAAGCTGTTGCCTCATGGATTCAGAGTTTGAGAACAAGCAGTGTTGAGTGAGTGGATGCAATAGGCTGACTTTGAATATCATTTTCTGATTGTCTGATAGTACCAACGATGACCCACCACCATATCCTGTTACACCCCCTCCGACACAGCAATTCCATCACATAACAATGTTAGATCCAAATGAGTCCAGGAAGAAGCCTGTTCGTGGGAGGCAGCCGTGTGTATATATGATCTTGTGCTGATTGCAAATGCCTGATCTGTCTTTCTGGATAGACACAGTATTCCTACTGAAGCCATGATTCCGACTCAGAGCAAAAATGATAAGCACAGTTCCAGGAAAGGTTCAACATCCACATCTACGTGAGTTTGACCACTTTTAGCAATGAGATTGGTGTTAACTTCTTAGCATAGAAGTTCAGCTCTGAAGTACGTGTATCCTCTACAGTTTCGCCGCTGCTGCCAACAGATCAATGATAGATCTAAGCCTTCTGGATTGAATGCCCCGTCGTTGTATGTCTTATCCCTCGAAGCCACTAAAAGCTGATGAACGATATCTATGCAGAAACAACTCGTAATGAGTTTTCCTTGGTCGATTTAGTATGTTCTAATGGTGTGCATAGAGTTCAGTCAGCTTCGATCTCGATTTACTCCTGCTCAAGGTCAGTCATCATGTCAATTCCCTTTTCATCTCTGACTTTATTTGCACTAGATTCGCTAACAAAGTTGGAAATGGAATTGGGCTGACGATGCCACTCTCCATTACGACTTATACCTATGACAGATATATCTTCTCCGTGAGAGCCGCGATATTACTGAACATCGACAACTTCAAGAACCAACAACACGTCAATGAGTATACGAAACTATACGAAACTCTGACCTGTTTTGTGGACCCAGGATGGCAAAGTATGGTACGTTAGGATGACCCATCTGACCATCTCAGACTATCAACCACTTCTTTAGGGCCAGTTACCAGTAGTCGAAGGATCATATCTTAAGGCCATCAACGAGTGCTTCTGGGAGCAACTCATGACTGTCCGACAGAGATCGCCGGACAGCAACCTCCCAAAAATAAAGCCCTCTCATCAGACAGCTGTGTCTGAACGTCTATCACTATTCTTCTGGGCGACCCTTGGAGCGTTTTCACGTGGGCAGCGCAAGTCTGTCAACGAAGCAGAATCTCGTCTGCAATGGGATACACTGCTGTTCCATGTTTTGAACAGCATCGACTCCGACGTTATTCACGTAAGACCACTGTGAGTAGGTCTTTCTTTCACGCATGATAATGGTTGATGTAAAGGTTTGATAGATTTGAGCGAACTATTTTGCTTTCTCGCAACCGCCTTGTGGACGAACTTTGTTCCAAAAGCGTCAAGGACGTCCGGGCTAGTGCGATCGATCGAGCGAAGGATTATTATGACCTCTGCTGGGCTTCTGGTTCTGCCAGTGCTTTTCCAGGCAATCACACGGAGCTGGATGTCATCAGATCCCAGGAACACGCAGCTCTAAATGTCGCCAGGTATCTGTTACAGCAGACATCTCATCTTTTCCCAGAAACTGCGCCGGAACCCCAAGCCATTGTTCATCGCGCCAGCGGCGAACCACACACAGGAAAATGTGATGCAGTTGTAGTTCTTACCGCCGATGACCTCTTGTTGCCTAGTACAGACTGCAAGATACCTGAATTCATCACCGTACCGCAAGATGATAGTCCGGGTCTGTTTCCCAAGCCTCAGGAGGAGGAACGTGATGGCCAGGTTTTGCTAGTTCCTTCCTCTCAGCGAGCGGCCGCTACGCCACCCCGCTCAGACAAGGAGCAGCCTGTATCTTCCGAAGGACCTACAGATGAACCTGTGACTCTCGATATTTTCAAGGTCGATTTGAAATCCTCTAGCAATTCATTCTTAACTGCGTTCTCCGAGACTGGCTGCGTAGTGGGAAGTGATGGGAAGAGAAGCACCGACATTCGGCAGCTGCACGAAAAGATCGAAAAGATCGGCAAGGCTGTTCCTGCCGAACTCTTAAGTAAAATTCTCTTCGCCATCCTTGTGGTTGAACATAAGAGGCCCCATGATGATGCAGCGAAGCCGTTGAATCAGGCCAGGGCTTATGTAGACGCTGCCGTCAGGTTGCTTCAAGCTCATGGTATAACCGGACTGCCCGTGTTCGCACTCGCCACTAACGGCAATGACGGTGTAGTGTTAATGGCATGGCACGGCAAAACCACAGAGGTATGTTTATTTTCTGATTCGAGATTTGCCATCTAATCGCTTTGTACAGAAAGTCTACCTTGTTGACCGATCAGTACAGCGATTTGATATATCGTCGCCCGTAGAAGTGTTCCACTTTGCCACATTCCTCCTTCGCCTCAGAGATTATTACGTTGAGCATTTCAAGATGCACCCGGGCCACATCGAAGCAGCAAAGAGCGCAGCACAAGAGATGGCAATGAAGGCAGAGAAGAAGCTGCGAGAGGCTAAGGCGCAGGCAAAGGAGGATGGCCTGGACCCAGACAAAGTTGAAGTTCACATAGATTGGGGATGGTGGAAGTCTGCTCAGACGCCGCGACCTCCACGTTCGAAAGAGTCAGGAAAGGAAGGGTCGAAATCAAAGTTGGAGAAAGTGGCAGAGGAGCTAGGAAATTTACATTTACGTTAGGTATATTTCATATGGTTTGCAATCTGTCTAGACAAAGGAACATTTTTTGCAGCGTCATTCATAGTCAGGAATACAGTTTGATCCTCCAAGGATTACATTTCACGTCCTGCTCGACCGAATAAAGGAGTGGTAGGTGAGATTAGTACAAATACAAGTCATCCAAACAGTCCCAGCGCTAACAATACGCGAACAAGTCACTCAGATTATTGATGATCCCATCCCGCACCCTGTCCACCGCCTCTAGACCAGCCAAAGAACACTCTAAACACACCAACGGCGAGTCCGCCACAACTTTCCGCACCATGATCATCGTTGACTTCAGCAACCCCAAAACGTCGGTTGGATTCCATCCAGTAATAGTCCCACATTTCCTTGCACCCTGCATGTGGGTTGGGAAAGACGGACTCGGGCCCTCCAATGGGAGACAGCGATGAGCGTATTCTCGCCCGCATACGAGTAAGCGAGTCGTGCGCCGAGAGGAAACACATCCGCAGTTCGATATCCACCGAACGCGGGAAAATAACACCTCCCCCGGATGTCTAGAAGCATGGGGGATCTATTAACATCCGGTGGTAGACAACCCCCAAGGTGGCGTAGGTGGAGTTTGAAGCAGGACCGATGGACCGAAAGGCCCTGTATGGTTCGAACGAGTCTCCCCAGGATGGTAGCCGTACCACAAGGTCCGGGTTACAATCTTTCGTATCACGAGAGGAAAGAGGGACTCAAACCGAGAAGGAAATGTCGAGAAGCCGAACGCAGATCGAATCTATGTTCAGTGGCTCTGACAGGCTCTCGGTGAGGGCCATGGAAGAAGAGGACATTGAACGAGAGGATGATATCAATATGAGAGAGAATGGAAGTGCTGTTCCTTGCGGCATTTTGTAAAGCTGATCGGCAGCCCAGGATTCAAAGGAGGGGATGCAATATTTGCTGGATAGCTAGACAATGTTTAGGAGAAAAAACATAGATGCGCCATGAGCGAGGTAGGGGTTGTGTGGATCTCTGAGTAATTCGCTCAATATAAAGGTGGCGATCGCAATGGAAAAGGAAACTCACAGGTGATGCAAAGCCCACAGTGTAGGTCCCGAAATTTACCAGCACTTTCGGGGATCCTAATGACAGGCAAGCTGATCAGTTCGGGAAGTATCTCTCGGACTACATAAGAGCAATGAGTATACCTCTAAATTACCAAACGGATTCATCGTACCTGTCCGGGGAGTATTGTTCACCGACGCCTTCCAGATGTGTATCGACGATTGACAAACAAGATAAAGCGCGGCGAGAGCTCTCTGCAGTGGTCGCGTCGACGACGTCTTCCTCATCAAGATCACAAGTTTTTCCTGACATGCCGGAAACTTTGAACATAAGCTCCCCCACAAGGGTAATGGATGATTGCTAGGGAAAGGCGGTTAGCGAGAACAAACAAGGTGGCGAGATTCATACCCGGATGCACCAACCAGGATCACGAAGAAGATCGATTGCTCGACGTAAAGATGATCATCGCGTCATCGTCAGGCAGCATTTGAGGGTCGTCGCGCAGTATACCTCCGGGGTCCTTGTCATACTTTGAACACATCGTGCTCCAGGCATCCATGCCTTCTCAGAAACCCTTGCCCTCCTGATCTTGAATGACAAGGTATCCTGACGCGCCAGAGGCGTGCTTAAGATCAGCGACAATCGGCTCGATCTTATCTGCTCGCTCGGGGTCTAGGATTATTAACGAGCATTTTGTGAGCGCTATGCAATGTTTAAGCTGCTCCAGGGGTAACCATCTACCACGCATATGAGTAAGAAAATCATCTGAACGGAAGACTAGATAATTACGCATTCAAGAGAGCGGTTACAGATCCGAGAAGGTCTGAGATGGAACCTGAGCGGACCCCGTAGAAGCACGGATGCAGACGTACGGCAAGCCCAAAATACGATGTAGTAGCTCGGGAAATTTCGAGAGCAGATGACTACACGATCGCCTGCATAAGAAGTGAATACTAAGGAAGCCTTGACAAACGCCCATTATATTCACCCCTTTGAATTTTGTAAACATCCCTGAAGATGGCAGCACATTTAACTGTCGTATCAAGTATCTCTTTGAAAGTGTAGCATTCTTTCTCGAACACTACGTAGGTCTTGTTGGCATGTTCTTTTGTCGACTGCAAGAAGAACACTCTTATCGATGGCCAGAGATTCTTCCACACTTTCGAGACCCTATCACCAACCACCTAAATCGCATATATATTCAGGCATCGAGCTATAGCTCAGTAGGCTGCACGTACGCGAGTTTCAACCTCGAGCAGACTTCCCGGTGCCATGAGTATTCGGTCCGCTGAAAGTATACTTGTTGGCATACGAGATGCGTCTGTCAGCGAGCGCACCTTCCTCCAGGGAACAGCACGGGTTCCAACTCTTAGTGTTAATCATGATTGGGATTGGCGATGTTCCAATTAAAATTTCGGTAGGCCAGTCCGCCTTTGTGCTGAGCACAGTGGTCTGCGAAGTGAAGTATAGCAGGAGCACCACGATCCACCTTTAAGGCCTTGATTTAACTTGCTTGCCAGTGCCGCTTACGACCAGTGAGCACGAAAGGAGAAGCTCTCAACAGTGGATCCAGTACTCCAGCTACAATTCCTTGTATTTTTTAAGCACTAAGCTGACAAACGATATCAATATGGCGTTATTACTCACTTGGACGTTTTGAAGACTGGAAAGGATGAGCAAGTCAAGAAAGAAGCATGATCACCGGGATAGACGGACCGTGGCGGCAAATTAACCCGACACCCAAGTTCCCACGGTTCCTTCCTGTTTACCGTCTTCATTACTCTTGTGTCCTGGGCAATAATATCTCCCTTCCCCTCCCGGTCTCATGATGGACGACGTTCTTATTCGATACAATGACTTGGTCGAGGAGTCTACGGGAATACTATGACACCTCTCAACAACTTTACCTTTACCGCACCTGGAGTAATTCATCGTTTCAGAAGATATGCTTGCCCGTTCTGGCGGGCCAAACAATGATATTTATCTTGGGTGGGACTATGGGCCTCGACATCTGGTAGACGTACATGCTGAACTCCTTAGGCAACTGGACAGGACTTGGGGTTGTGGCCGTGTTGTCATTGTACTGTGTACGTTATCGAACACGGCATCTATTCTTACTCTGATTCTCCCTTGTAAGGGCGAAACGCAATGAGCGCAAGTCCACAATGGCCAACAATTGGCTTCGAACTAGCTCCGAGCGTCAGTGAATCTTTGCATCTGTCGTAAGCTCCTCCACAGGTGCATATAAGCAATGGACGTCGAGACGGTCCTGCAATATCTCGTCGTTCTTTCCCCCACCTTGTCGCGTAGCTTGAAGCTCGCATAATAACCATCCACGACCACCTAGCTTCCTCGCTTCAGTGATCTCCGGTACAGAACCGCTGTACAGTTGCCTTTACCTCGAACACAATGCCACCCGTGGAGACCGTGCTCAAGGCTGCCCTTTCTCACTCTTCCGAAAAACCAGTATGTTCGATATGTCCTCCTGGTCTTCCTAAACTGTCGAAACACCCCGTCACGAAAATCAAAGCTGGGGGCCGCAGGGGGTTCAACACCGATAAGAAGTATTTTCTCGCCCTCTACGGAAGAGAATGGGCATCCATCGAGGATTTCCAAGCCTGGTTTTTGAACGAACAACGTGTTCATGGCGTCAAGTTCGTCGTGTTCGAAAGCTTGGAGAATACCGCTCCCCTTGGAAAGCGAAGGTGGTTGGCGGAGCATACCTTTTCCTGTTCTCGTTACCAACCATCCGAGCCCCGATACGTCGGTCCTCCTAAGCCAAGAAAAAACACCTGCTTCTGCTCAATCAGAGTCAAGACGTATCCGGACACTCCGATTGTTCGAGGAAGTTATAATGATTTTCATTCACATCCTCTCGGCAAAGCGAATGTTACATTCTCCGAGAAGCTACTCTCTTTTGTCTCTGAGAAGATGAGCCTCAGTACGAGAAAGTCAGACGCGGTATGTCCTCTTTTGACATGAGAGCAATCGAGTCTGACTGCATCGTTTTTCCAAAGCCCTCTCAAACTGACGATGTCTATAAAGAGCCTACGAAGGATTGCGATAGCAGTGTTGACGCTTGGCGTCCAGAAAGTGCCTTGTACCTCGATATCCCGGATCCTTTTGCACCCAGGTCCATGATCGATCCTAACACAAGCTACATCGAGGATTAGCAGGCGGACGTTGATGTGCGCCCATTTGTCTCTCTTGTCTGACTAATGTCACGTTCTGACCTTGTTTACAGATTTCAGATTTCCAGGATGAGGACTATTTGCCGGTTATTATAACAGTATAATCCTTTCTTGAGCTGGCCTCTAGAGGATTTGCTTCTTAGGGTTTAAAGTAGGCGGTAGCTTTTTCCTGACGCTCTTTTTCAATTTTATTTCATTTTTCATCAGAACTTTGATGACTGTCAGTGAGAATGTAAACAGAGTGCATCATCGGTGTCCGCAGCGACCATTCAAGGAAGATCACCACGCTTGAAGGAATCGAGAGAATGTTGCTCGTAAGGACGCTGGAAAGTACTGGTGGGTTTATTGTTATCTTTTGCTTCCTTTCTAATAAGCCACAGCTCTTGAACTCTCGTTAGTAAACACGATGTCAAAAAATATCATCCGTTCAACATATGAAGGAGAAATGAGGCCCGTTACTACCTACCCTCAACAAGTTTCGCTGCTCTTTGAGGGCCGCAATGGAATTGCTTTACCTACGTCACCTAGGACCCAGGAATATCAATACGTTTCCAGGAAATTCTGGCATGTTGCATAGACTTTCTGAAAGAGACGCTAGTTAGTTGATTGTACCTTGACCACCATCACTCCGCACACTTATCCAGGACCTTCAGAACATCTCTTCGTGATGTATCCCAGCCTTCTAGCCACTCTTGAAACCAGTGAAGCTCAGATATCGTCAAGAAGACGTTTAGCGCCACCGTCTGTACGGAGAAAACCCTTGACAGACGATGGGCGTTTCATTGTTATCGGGACACTGCAAATCACACTCGGAACTCGACTGTGACTGGCTGCACCTTGTTAGACATTGACGGACGTAGGGTATTACGGGATCACCTCCAGCCATCCGACGAGCTTAGCCCGACAGCAACGTCCATGTGCGCTTTGGAACGATCATCGCGTTCATGCCACGGATTGGAGACGGTGGATCGAGAGGGTGCTCTGATAGAAATTTTCTTGATCATTTTAGCTTGCAGTCCTGCGACTCTATCCTCTGCGACCGCATCAAAAGCGCCAATGCGAACAAGCAAGTCATCGGCTTTCCGTTCGCTCTAGGATTGCTTGACTGCCGCACAAGGGCCGCCATCTCTGGTCGTCAAGTTCGACGTTGTCTATGGTTAATCATGTTGTTCCATCTTGGCGACTTCCTCATCCCCTGGAAGCTGTGCCCGACCTTGTCGGTTTCGATGAGTGTAACATATCCGATCCGATAAATGGCCTTTTTCGACAGGTACGTCCTCTGTATGCAATTGTCGTGCTAGTCGCTTAACGACGGTGTTCAGAGTCGACGTGACATACGTCAGACTTCAGTGCACATTCACAGTCGACATATTCTTGGTTCGCATAAATCATCATACATGTTACAGAGTCTTGATAGAGACTCAGCTACCACGATCCTTTCCAGAATATGTACGTGTATGTGTAACGAGGGAAATGCCGTTGGAAGGTTGACAGAATGAGAAAGGTTTGCTTTTATGTCCAGCAACTGCTGTTTATGGATTACCTTGTATGTACGCTTTCTGGGTCACAGATGTTCCGTGAGATTCTAACAACATTGTATCCCACAGTCTAGGATTCTCTTGTGTTTCGCAAGCGTTAACGAGGGCATGAAGAAACACGTCGGCGACACTTTTATGCGCAGTTATGCTCTCCGAGACATAGGGGTGACCGAAGCCGTCAGTGCTCTTGACTTGTAAGTATGCAAAACACCTTGGTTGCGTATCATCAGCCTATCCAGGACGGGTAGTGTAGCCCGCCCATATGCCTTGTCTACAGGTTGTTCGACGTCGTTTTCTCAAGTGTGGGACGTGCTTTGTTTACCTCGGAGAAATTCAGCGGAACGGTATTTGACATCAGTGGCTTCTTAAAAGGATGGAAAATAAGTGCGGACCCGAATTCTGCATTGGAGAATCGACATGGCCCTTCTTTCTTCTGGCGCATATTCGCCACCGCTATGAACTGTTTAAATCCATTTCTTTGATGAATGCGATCTGGATTCTATCCATCACATTTTTTTCCAAATTCACTTTGACGCCTTGTACTTTTAGTGTCGACGGTGATTCATACTTGTACCTTTACCCTATGGGTTTTGGGTCAGTTCAAGTGCCCTTCAAAATCAGCTACGAATCTGGAATTCGTTGAATAGCTTCTAGGACTTGGGACCTCATATCTTCTCTTTTTCTAACAACGCTAATTGATTCAGATACACGTCCGGACCGTCGTCCTATATATAGAGCGCAGGGAAAGCCTCTTATGCCAAGATTATTTCCTGCAAAGTTTGAGGGGCGTTTTCATCGGTCCGTCTGGAAGTCATTCAAATAACAGGAAGATCACCGTCGAAACACTAGCTTCTATCCCGGCGGCGACGCTCTCTTACTTGGTGATGTACCTTTCGGAACCGTGCGATCCGGCTTCTAGACACAGGGCACTTAACGTCACTGGACCCCATACGTGCTCGTGGTCAACTGATTTCGATATCATTGTCGCTGCCAACGCTGGTGCGGGAATGGTTTGGAAAGAGACCCTTTTTTTGTTGTTTGAACGTTTAGAATTCCATGGATGTCATCGCCGTCCACTTGGACATAAACGTGAACCCTTGCTTCGGCTGGAATATCTCTCCCTCGTGAATGATGAAAATTTTGTGCACTAGTGTGTCGCTTGTCATTGGCGCCTCGAAGGTTCTTTTCGGCCTTGGACTACACCTCCCGTGCAGGGTGGCTTAGATGCCGGAAACTCTTTAAAGTTTGTTCGATTCGCGACTCGGATTTTATGTGGGAGTGTGAATCAGTGGGAAAAGGCATACTGAAAACGACGCACGGTAACGCGCGACGCGGTTCTTCCTAGCGATGTCATCTCGACCACCATGGAGACAAAGTTATCCCATTTTCTTGATGGACGTCAGATTGAATAATAGAGACAGAACGACGAAGCCATGACCCCACGGAGGGATTCACGATCGCTATACATTTGTGCCGCCACTCAAAATTTGATGATCATAAGACAATAGTATCTTGTTAATCAGAACTCGGGGGGCACCTGATCAGAATGAATTCCGTGCTTCCATCACCACTGATAATGAAAACGATGCGTTCGAAAGATGTACACCTTGTGTAAGTTCCCATCGCTCTCTCCCAACAACTAGTAATATATTGAACATCGAGTTAAAATGGCCTGAAGGCCGGGTACAAGTAGGTACAATACAACGAACAAAATTAGCAAGCAACAATGAACAAAATTATTAACAAATACAGAAAGCATTATAATTTACTGTCTTGAAGGGTCGCCCGCACGGATCAACAGCTCGGCCTCGTGCGAACGTGGTATAATTCGACAATTGAAGGGATCGGGATGCCTATCACGACTCATGAGGAAAGCGGAAAGCTGGTAGACATATAAGACCCACGAAATGGTAGATGAGAGGTATCCTTCACTCCGAGACCAATCAGGGAGCCTGACTTGCTCCTTGTTGGATTCCGGAAGAATGTTGAACACGGAGAGCACAGCAGCAACAGTAATATAGAACTCATCGTCCGCAAGATGTTGTCCGGGACAGATTCTACAAATAGATTTATTGGTTAGTAGGTATCCTATTTGGAGCCATGAATAGCATTTACCTGCGCCCGTATCCGAAAGCGAATTTGCGAGGATCTGAATTGATGCCCTTGGCCTCATTGTGGGGCTCCAGATATCTTTCTGGAAGGAATTCAAAGGGAGACGGATAAGTGTCTGGATCATGCATTACGGCCCTATAGAAAGTTCGTCAGCCGAAATTGAGAACTTCTTGATTGGTGGTACGTACCATGTGTTAGGCACAACCACGGAGCCAGAGGGAATCAAATAGCCCTAAAAGGATCGTCAGAATATGAACTGAAGGCAATGGGCTGTTCAAACCATGACACACGTTGTAAGAATCATCTTTAGTCGACTTGTGTGGTACTGCTAGAGGTCCAACTGGATTCAATCGATGGACTTCCTTGAGCAAAGATTCAACGTAAGGCAAGCTTTCTCGATCGTTGAAATCAGGCAATCGTGCGGACCCGACTACGCAAGATATTTCTTCTTGCGCTTTCTTCTGCTTGTCCGGGAGAAGCGTCATATACAGGAAGAATGAGCATAGTGACGATACGGTCTGAAGACATTTGCTGATTAGCTACGATTGAAAGTGACGGATAATGTCTGCTTACTGTGTCGGCACCGGCTATAATTAAATGTATGGTCAGCTTGTGATATCCGGGGTCGAGTAGATTGCGGAGCCCTTACCGGAGTAGAATCCAGTGGTGACCCACTTGTTAACGTCTTCTTGGTATGATGATGGATTTTTGTACCGCTGAATAAGATTGGCAGTAAAGGAAGGGATGGCCGTCCCTTTGACCTTAATTAAATGAAGTTCAGTCGGTTACTGACGTTAAGACAAAGAGCACTGACCACTTGCTCCTTGACGGAGTTATAAGGTATATCTCGGAGTTCCTCCATATCTCTGTGGAACTTCTCAGCCTTCTTCATCCAGTTGAAGCCCAACCATCGCGGAAGATACAGCACTTGTGAATTAACGTCATCGTCTGGTGATCCAAGGAAATGAGTGATTCGACTTACTGATAGGGAATGAGTCAACCAGAAAGGCACCGGCAGTGGTAGACTCCGAAAACCCTTGATCACCCCGATCGGCAAGCTCGACAAGTGGGTCATTTTCAGGTCTAACGTCGTACCCATGTGATATGAGGAAAGTTATGGAGGCGATATGACTACAAGTGACTTCAATATTCTACCTATTGCGTGTTAACGAGTAAGCCTTACTGTCGAATATGGTCACGGAATTTTTCCGGGGATTCCAAGAGCGCTCCGAGGAATATCCTTGTCTTCTCTGCCTCGATGGGCCGCCACTGCTGGACCTTCCGGGGTCCGACGACTTCAAGGATCAACTTCCTGTACTCCCGTAAACGCGTGCCGTAAGGGCAAAGAGGTACACTGTGGACGTATCCGGCGCTGTACAACAGTTTACACATGTCAGAAATACGTCCTGGACAATCAAATGCTCGCTTACAGCTCTCCGCCCATCACTAGACGCGGCCTATCTGAGTAGATGCCACCGCGCTGATCAAGTAGAGCGAAAACGGCCTTGGCTGAGTTTAGCACTATAACGGACTGCCCAACAACGTTGAGATAGATAATATCGCCTTAATGAATATAGCAGATGAACACCAATCAATATATATCTGTTGGCAAAGGCCTACCATATTGTCGACCCCACTCGGCGTATTTTAACCAAGGATATTTCACGGCCATGTCGAGAGCATTTCCGAGAAACGGGAGACCGGGAGGACCGGGAGGCAGGAGAGAGCGTTGCTTGCGGCAGAAGGCATAGACCAAGTAAACGAAGAGAATGAGTGCAATGAAAAGAGGGGTATCCATTTCGTCAGGACAACTAAGAGGTCCCGAACTGGATGCTATGGTCTTCAAGCTTTCGTTTTTAAAGTCTCCTTTAGCGACCGAGAGACCCTAGTCGGTATCAAAAAGATTTACAATTGGAAAATAGTGAATCCCGTGCGATAGGAATCTTCATCCCCGGATAGCCAGATATACTCATGCTTTCTCCTTTGAAAGGTTCTCGTTCGACCTTTGCCCCCTAGATACTAAGTTATCGGATTAGGATATCAGAAAAATTCGCCCGTCGGGTCGGTTTGGAGGTAAGCCGGCGATAACAGAGGTCGGCAATCCAGTCATCTAGACGCAGTCGGTCATTAAAATGAAGCGTGGAATGAAGTAGTTCCTGACCGTTGCGTTGGATATACACGAAAATACTCTTCCTGCTCAAAAAGACTGTAGATCACTGTTGGATGATGGCAACGGTGCCTCCTGCGCACGTGTGCTGACCGGGTTCCTCTGCAAGGAGGTGGCGTGTCAACAAATCACTGGCACGATGTCGTTGCTTGAACTTTGAAGGCAGTGGTGCGCTGAACGGAACCAGGTCCAGGCCACTCGGTAGCCGGCCCGATCACAATATCGCCATTTGCCGCTTGGCCCTGGCCGGGTCCGTTTGGTTGGGTACTTTTGTTATTTTTTGTATGTTGTTTTTCCTGCTAAAAAAACTTGGTTGATTTACTGATTTATCCTGTATTCAAGAGTCATTTGACGTCTTAAATGGGCATCCGTTCAAGGTCTTCCACCTCCCATGTGGATGCCACGCCACCTCCTCGCCCGCAGTGCAGGGTGGCTTGAGATTCGACGCTTGATACATCTCTGCGGCACAGGCAAAGGGCACGGGGTTAAAATTATACCCCAGTATTATACTGATTCCGACCCAATACGCGCCCAAACACAGATCAATGCGAATACCGCTGGATCCTGTCAAGAATCGCCTTGTTTCGTTATGACTGCTCGTAATTTCCAAGCGAAATGATTTCGAAACATTCCACGGTCGAAACTTCCTGACGCGTGCCCGAGAAATAAAGTAATACGAACAATGAAATACCGGTCCTGGCGGTGGCGCATTGCCTTTTGCTTCCCAAGCTCTTCCACCTCTCGCCTACAGTCCAGCGATGAGCTCCTCAGTAGAGGTTCCTACTCTACACACCACGGTGGGTGATTCACATCTCAGGAATCGACTCCTTGCTGACGATGATGTATAGATGGGCGCATTGATGATTGGTACCATGTGAGCTTTGGACACTTCTTTTCGGAGTTATTTGCTGATCTGTTGAATGGTGACAAAGCTTGGCTGCAGTGTAAGTATCCTTTTTTCGAGCAGTATTTCATTCACTAACTACGATTTCTAGGCTATGGGGCGTATCTTGCATGCAGACATACGAGGTATGAGGTTTGCTCGAATTTTCCCACATTTTCTCACAGTGGTGGACCCGCTTTCAGTACTTCAGTGTGCGTACCCGTGCTTCTCAGCCATCGCCTCTGCCAATCCCCACGCAGATGTATAGGAAGACGGATGACCCGAGGCTGAAAGTCATGGTGAGCGCCAGTTCATGATCGAACGCGTAGTAAGAGAAAGACTTATGTTTGCTAGGTTGTGGTGGTCTTGTACGAATGATTTCTCTGTAAACAACTCGACATTTCTAATCATAAATCCAGTCTTCTTGACACCGTGCAGCAAGTATTTGTTACACATACTCTATATGAGTACCTAGTCGTTCATTACTATGACCCCGCCAACCTCGGAGTTGTTGAGTGGTGAGCGCATTCGATTCTGACCTTCATTTTTATCATACTGAAAATGGCGCTGTAGGAGTCTGTTGGTACGATCTAATATACTCATGTCCGGTACGGTAACCAATCTCCAATGCAGGCTCAGGTTGCCCCATCAGTATGTCAATTACAAGCCAGGGCGACGTTCTGATATCGATGTGATCACAGGGCCTCATTGCGCTACTAGTCCAATCGTATGTCTTCACATTAATCCCGTGTCCCCTTCTTCTGACTTTTATTTCCAGGTTTTTCACATATCGAGTATTTATCTGTAACGCGTTTTCCTCGTCTCGTCGCGTTCAATTCTAATCGCATCGACAGTGAGCCGCAAGAATATACCAATAACGTTATTCCTTGTAGGTGCCTCGAGGTCATTGTTCACAGCACCCGACTGACTTGTTTTCTCTAGGGGTCACTTGTTTTCGCAGAATTTGGAGTTACTATCGGTCAGAGCTTTTTCGTGCAATTCCACTCTGTCTCATACGCTCTTCCTATATAGCATACTTCGTTCGAGGGTGAGTGCAATGGGTCAGGATTTTGCCTGCCACTGAATGCCTGCAGGTGGTCTGTCAAACTCGTGGCAGAAATTCCGTCTAAACTTACCGTCCGTGTGGTCTTGCGCAAATCATTCAAATTAACTGAATAGAAGCATATAGAACCTGTCACGATCAATGAATGCTGTCGGCGCTGCGGGCGATATATGTATCACCATATCACTCATTTCTTTACTTCAGCGGTCCAAGTCCGGATTCAGAAGGTACGATGTTTCGGACGCACGCCTTCATCTTATTCAATTCCGATTTAGAACCGACGCGATGATGAACCAGCTTATTCTTTTTTCTCTCAATAGTGGCTTACTTACTAGGTAAGATATTCAGTCTGCGAGACGTACTATACGGGTACTCAATTATGAGTAGCATTTGTGCAATAACGTCGCTGATATTGGTACGTACTTGTTCTCTATCTCCAAGTTAAAGAAATAATCGTTGACAGGTCTTGGTGTGCCCGGACACATTCCTATATATAACTTTCTATATTCTTTTGGGCCGTTGTACGTCTTCTTGCTACTATGTCGTCTTTTCGCCAATAACGAGCGTCGACAGTGTATACGAACTCACTTCTGGCAACGTAGGTCGTTCGCTAATTCCATTAGTTAATAAGCTGATAGTTTCTCAAGCCTCAATGCGCGATTCAAGATACGAGGGCAGCAGGAAGGTGAATCCTTCATGGCAGCTGTGAGTATGGATGCGACGTCTGTAGAACGGCGGACTCTTCCTGGCCTCACTTCCAGTGCGAATAGTTCGGTGAGACCTACACGCTCTGTCTCTGGCTTTTCCCTCACATGTTCTCTTAGAAACCACAACATATTGTTATCAAGCGGGAAACCGAGATTGAAGTTTTGGCAGATTATGAACTTGGTGTTAGTGAGTTTCAAGTTTTCACAACTGGACATGCGCTTAGGATGTCTTTCTTTTCGAAAAGAATCATCGCCATCATGATGAGGCTGCTAGCACTGCGAGTTTCGATGCCAAGTGACCCATATCTCATGGACATAAAGTATCCCACCGTGACCGAGCCTCTCTAACACCGTGGCGGATAAACCACATGTATTTTCTCCAACCCTACAGTATTGTACATACCATCTTTTTGTTATGCGCCGTCGGGGAGCCGACAAGGAGGCTACGACTTTTTCTGATCGAGGATTTTGGGACTCGCTTTTGCCACTGCATCAGACTGTGCCTTGATTGCCGCACAGCGAGACTGGACTGTGAGACGGCCTTTTGCTCCCTATGCCGGGACCCATCAAAGTGGGCCATCATAGTTATAGGTATAGCTACCGTCTCGAGATACTTACCTCGTATGCAATTACAATATTAAAGTTTGGTACTCCTAGCGCGATGATCGTTCCGGCAAGTCCCCGCCTAATCAGCATTCGACTTCAAATTCCGATTTAGTATGTGGGAGTTGTGAACGACATGGAGATAAAGTGGAGACAATTTCAGGTCCAGCAAGCGGTTTCAAAGAGGTTCTCTTTTTGATTTTCGGAAAAGTCCCCATCTAACGGAAAACATTTTTTAAACGAAATTTTCACAAAATACCAGAACAGCTTAGATCAAGGCGTATCCGAAGTATGAGCCCGTCCGATTATCAAATTAGCGAGCTGTTAGGGGCTTCGGCAGAAAGCGGCAGAAGATTTGCAGCGGCACGGCTTATATCGGCTTGTACCGACACGCTGTCTGCTCTCACTGCGGCTGCACAGAAGATGAAATAAATTGAAGGCGAAGAGCATTAAGCGGCACTGAAGGTACAGTCAACGATTTTCTTTGCGTGGAGGTGGTATCAAGGCTAAGCCGAGAGAAGCCGCGCCACGGCAACACTTCGCCTCCGATCGATGATCATTGCGGAAAGTTCAGCAAGTCCGATCTTAATCACGATCATCAAAAGGTTGCGAGCATTGAAGAACGACACAGGACACGATGCAATGCATCCAAGGAAAAGCTGAATGAAGAGAAAAGGTGGCTATCACAATCCTAAATGGTACTATTCTCATAATTATATTTTACTAGCAGTAGCCTGTGCAATGCACCATTGAAGATGTAAATGAGCAAAGCTAAAAATCATGACAGTAAGAATATTGATGTGAGGGAGGTTCTTGATGAATCTGGAGAATGCTGGATCAATGATGTGCTTGTTCTCAGTTCCCTTTACAAGGGTAAAACCAATGTTATGATCAAGCTAGTATATACATCACATAGATAACGGTAGTAATTGTTTAACTAGCTTTGAGATCAAAGAAAAGCATTCAGCATATTCCTCTATGGTTCAGCAAACATTTAGCTTAGCTGAATAAGTAAGAGAAGACAAGTGTTCAGCATAGTCTTTTCAAACTTAGGTTCACTCAAGAGAGGATAATTTGGAATATAAATTGATTGATTCTCTTGTAGCTACTGGATGCTTGCATATAAGCTAAGACTATGCGAGAAAGAGAGAGAAACTTATAGAAGATATAAAACTGCGAGAACATTCTTGATGGACGAGCGGGCCGATTGCCGAAAAAAGGGAAGTACGGATTCTAAATATGGATATCCATATCAGGCGGCCTGACTCTGTCGAGTTCCTCGAGGTTGCTGCCTTTTATTTTCTTTGATATTTATGTTTATGTGAATGCTGCTGTAAGTGTAGTCCGAGTCTGGATGGAACGTACGCTTCTGAGGCTAAGTTGACTTTTTCGTTACGTTAGGCAGTACCAGTCTTGTCTACGTCGTTGGAGGTTCAACGTGAGCGGTCTGAGCTTGCGAGGGCAGCGCACATAAGGTACATCTCCCGCTTGTACTCAGCACCGCAAGAGCCAAATTCGCTACCCAACCACACTCGAGACTTGATTCCAGGAGATGGAATCTTACTCGCAAGAGGAATAAAGATTTCTCTCCATCCCCCTCTTAGGTCCGTCGTTTAATGTATGTCTTCGACTATCTCTGCTACTTCAATGTTATAACTTTCATATCGCCCCATCTAGGTGCTCGGGACCCTTCCGAGGCCTATCGGGCTTTGATTGGTGAACAGGGATCATATGCATCGTTGTCGGAATTAAAACTGGTGCCAGGCAGGCCTCTTGTAGTTATCCGAGACGCAACTAGTTACATGCATTCTATGTAATGCACCACTATGCCCATGGGGGGCCTGACCTTCTGCTTACCACATTCTACTGTCGTCACCGATCGTCACTGCTGGACTGTTTCGGTGGATCCGTATATAATCTTGAGACAGACTGTGGTCATCGTCATTCTCTGTCTCAATTGTGCCACCATGTCCTCTTCGACAGATACTGCTATCCAGGACGAGGTCAACCGCCTCAAGCTCGAGCTCCAAGCTCTCAAGGTCGAGGATGGTTCAGAACAGATATATGTTGGACAATACCTGCTTTCCAGGTTGCAGCAGCTGGGCGTCACTGTGTGCCGGCCATTGTCCTTATCGTAGCATCGCTTATTTTGCGATACAGTCCATGTTCGGTCTCCCTGGAGACTTCAACCTGGGCTTCTTGGTGAGACCCATATTTCGCTTGATCTCTTCGGTATACAGACTATGCGGTATCTAGGACCTGGTAGAGGATCATCCCACCATCAATTGGGTTGGTAACTGGTACATAGCTCATTCTAGTGAATGAAGGCCTGACCTGACCTATTCTGATAGTAATGAACTAAACGCGGCCTATGCCGCAGATGGATTTGCCCGCGTGAAAGAGCAGAGTATCGGTGTCGTATTGACGACGTGAGGATTCTATTACCGCTATCGCGATGCGCTGTTTCTAATACCATCTTTATAGGTTTGGTGTTGGAGAGCTATCAGCAACCAATGGCATCGCAGGAGGTACGTGCTCTGTCTGCTACAGCGGTTCTGAGAGCATGTCCTTACCTTTGTTCAGCTTTCTCTGAGATGGTTCCTGTTCTTCATGTTGTAGGCGTCCCCAGCACTGTCCAGCAGAAGACCAAACCCATGCTTCATCACACCCTCGGTGATGGAAGGCAAGCTTCTTGATTCCTTTGATTGTCATGCGGTTAAGTCCGTGTAGGTATGATGCATATATGAAGGTTGCTGAGCAGTTCAGTGTAGCGCATGTATACCTCACCGATGCGGCCACGGCGGCGGTTGAAATTGATGACCTCCTCACTGAATGTATGACAAAGGTAATATGATGATATGTGGTCGGCCCAAAAATCTAACCTGGTCATTATTCAGGCCCGTCCTGTTTACTTGACCCTGCCCACGGATATCGTCTACGATAAGATATCTTCAGCGCGTCTTAAAATACCTTTGTCCGGTACTCCGCCGCCGAACGAGCCAGAAGCCGAGGCATTTGTCTTGGACAAAATTGAGGGACTCGTGAAGGAGGCGGAGGGACATGTGGTTGTTCTCCTCGACGCGTGTGTTGTCAGACACTATGCACGCGCAGAGACAAAGGAGCTAATTAGGACGACCGGATTCCCAGTTTACGCTGCGCCTATGGGGAAGACGGCTGTAAACGAGAGTTGGGAACGTTTCGGAGGCGTGAGTATACTCTCACCTCTGAAGATACCGCGCATTTACTGACTTTTTCGATGTAGATTTACATTGGATCAATCAGTCACCCCGAGATTAAGGAGAAGATCGAGTCGGCAAAGCTCATTTTATCTCTTGGCAGCTTGAAGAGCGACTTTAACAGTGGAAATTTCACTTATAGTATCCCAACTGCGCGCACCGTTGAGGTATGTGTTTTTTTTTCGCATCTCGTATGTGTCGTTTATCCTTCATGTAGTTGCACTCCTCTTGGACTAAAGTCCAGTATTCCGATTATGCGGGTATCGGCATGAAAGACCTGCTCCCAAAGTTGACCAGAAGACTGCAGTCCTATCGGAGTGCAGCACTCAAGTACGATGTTCCGCGTTTCCATGCTGTCGTACCTCAGGAAGACGACGGCATCATCTCCCATTCTTGGCTCTGGCCCACAATGGCCAAATTCTTCAAGCCAAGGGATGTTATTGTCACAGAGACTGGTAAGTATAACTTTCTGAATGTGTATTCTTAGCTCAATTTTTGTTCTCAGGGACATCAGATTTCGGCATCTTGGACGTTCCATTGCCTAATGATTCAATTTTAGTTAACCAAATCTTCTGGGGAAGTATCGGTTGGTCTGTTGGTGAGTATCAAATCGATTCCTTCTTTCAGATATGTATTGATACCGTTACAGGAAGCTGCCTTGGGGCTGCGTTAGCTGCGAAGGATAGGGACCTTGGCCGTGTCGTTCTCTTTGTCGGTGACGGTAGCCTGTAAGTGGTCTTTGATCTTGTCCAGACCAAACATCGACTGCAATCTCCTAGTCAACTCACCGCACAAGAGCTGGCGACTATGATTCGCGCAGACCTCAAGCCCATCATCTTTGTCTTGAACAACAGTGGCTATACAGTCGAACGGTGCATCCGTGGTCAAACTCGGTGCGTACTTTTCTTCCCTCTGCTGTGCGCAACCTAAGCAAACAATCCCAGAAAATACAATGACATTACAAACTGGAAATGGACATCACTTCTTGAAACTTTCGGTGACCTTGATGGGACACGCTCAAAGTCTTATACTGTCAATACTAAGGAGGAGTTGAAGAATCTCTTAGATGATTCCGAGTTTTCCAGCGCCCGCAAGATCCAACTCGTCGAGGTCCTGATGCCCATGCTTGATGCTCCTCTGTCATTGAAGTTCCAAACCGAACTAAGTGGCAAGACTTAACGCTTACACCAAGTGAAGGATGAACTTCTTATGTTTCTTTCGCGATAGCCCTTGTTTTCAGACGATGACTGACCTACCTCACTGGTTGTACTTCTTAGTCATTAGGCGTACAGATTTTCGTTGCATCGGTGGCAACGCTGCAATGCCTTCATGTTCTACGTCAAATTGCATTCAATACTTTGCAAAATGTTACAAGAAGATATGTGCTGTTGGTTGTCAGGCCGGCTGAAAGTTGGGCCGGTAATGCACTCCGAGGATGAAACCAACCCCCTTATTACATGTTACATCCTTTGTTTCCGGACTTTCGAAAGACGAAACGGGCTCAGGTCAACGCATTACATCTCATCCACACAACATATAGTATATCCTACTTGATAGCACCATACTACATATTCGACTTAGACGGAGCTTTAGATCCAAAGATCTTTAAGAAAACATCATAGTCGGGTGCCCTACCCAAAAAGTCCTGATAGAAATCGTTACTCAATATCCATTAAATCGAGTCGCAACAAACCTTCAAAGGGTCGATCTCCTCTCGGCCTCCACAAGCACCACGATAGCATTTGCCCCGTGCAGGATCAAGAGAGTCAGCTTTTGAATATGGTAGCTGCAACGAGAGTCCAGAGTGGGTATATGGGGCATTCTAAATCATAACAATCACGCACCATACATGTCCGCTGCGAACACCAATGAGTACGAGCACGTGTACCTAGAGTGATACAGCAACGCTTTTATCCCCTCAGATAAATGAATGTCCTACCCGTAGTAACCTGCATCGTAACCCCCCGTAATGTGACCGGAAGGACCTAGATCATGCTCCGCCAAAGCTGAACTTGCGTAAAATATATCGTGTCCAGGGCATGGTTCGCCGACCTTGACTAGCAAAATGCACTCCCTGAGTTCGTTCCAGAGTTCACTATAGTCCGCATCCTCTGATCATCGCAAAAGGTAAGTCTGAGGTCCAGATATTGCACTGAGGAAACCCACCTTGATCCGTTTGTACTTTGATGTCGAATTTGACGAAGAAGAGCTGTCGGAGGTGACGTACCGGCTAGTTGAAAACATTAGCGGAACCTCAGGTGAACTGCACGCAGGGTATATCAGACCTTTTGATGAGTTTGTCAATAAGCTCAGGCAATAAAGGTTGGCCGGCCTCTTGATGACTGGACATCTTTTGCAGAACCTTTGGCTCCCAGCACCAGTTTTTCCAACACCTGAGAAGGGGCCTCAATGAAATCCCTCGCCACACCACAGAGAGTTCATTTCTGCATAACGTTAAGGGGAAGAGGACCGACCTAGTGCCATGGAACCTCGAGAAATAAGTTCGGCTCAGCAGCCCCTGGAAGACATGTCCCATCTTGTGGAAGAAAGTTGTCATGCCTCATGATTTCGGGCTTATCCTGTGTCAATTTTGCAAGGTTAGCGACCATCACGGCGAGGGGGTACTCTCGTGATCCATCAGGAAGGTCATAATAACAGAGGCCACACGGCTGCATGTGAATATTTAGGGGTGAATTTCGGGTGTTTTGCAGCTATGCGCACATACCACGCGGGAAAAGATCAAGGTAGCAATACCCCACAAAATCAGACTCGTCTTTAGCATTCTTTTCCCAGACAGCAGACCGCTGGACATCTGATCGATCATCTGTCTGCTGTTCAGGAAAGAATGATAGATTCTGCCGGGATGCCAAGTTGAACCGCCTTTAATTTCCTCGAATTGAACACCCAACAGGTTCTGGTAGATGGAGAGGATTGTTGGGATGACAACGGAGACTGGGAAATACTCCTTGACAAGCGCGTCATCGAGGTCGAGAGTCTTTTCGATGAACTTTCGGTCATAGTATCTATAGTCCCAAACATAAAAATCTTCGTCAAAGAGGAGACCAGCTTCCTCGTGTTCCTGCTTTTTCAAAGCTAGGAGAGATGCCTTGTCTTTCGCTCTCGAAGTAAATTATTGGAAAGGTTATCTTCATTTGCTGTTCCGGTGGTGTTTATACCCTATCATTGTGGTTTCGGTGCGTACCACTTTATTGCTCAACTGAGGGTGTTTTTGAATTGAGGATTGGGCTGCAGGTCACACATCCTTCGGGAAGATTATCAAACTGTCGTTACTGGCCATTGCCCAGAGGGAGTGGGAAAGGAGAGGAAAGAAGTAAATGAGGCGAAACCCAAGAGAGTTCTCATTCGACGCTTGTGAATACACTCAGTCGTAACGATTCATAAATAAAAGGCTTATTGTCGCTCTGGTCCTCATCTTTCAGCGGGTTTGGATGGGAGAACTTGAAGCAAAGGCTGCGACGATGTTGTGACTGAGTTATACGACAAGTTTCTTGTCTCGGGACTTGGGCGCCTGTCCACCTGAATGTTGAATTGGTCTTCAAGTCTGTTCCAGATGGGAATGAGGCTATTCATACACATCTTGCGTCACCTCACAGGCCCACTTGACAATACCCGGGTATAATTAACTGGCTGCGAAGCGTCGTCGGCAAGATTCAATCATTTAATAACCGCACCGATGGTACCTTGCATGAGCACTAGTCGGCCAGGTAGAACTACCGCGAACTGAGAAGCTATTTATAAAGGACTTAAATGTATGAAACGTTATAAAGGCCAATTTAAAGACGCAAAAAGATCCAAGTAAATCCTCTCCTTAAATCAGGTCCCAGATAGGCCTGGCCTCTCACTGGAATGTTGTTTCCTCAAGGAATGAAATCACGTTCGTCGTCGTAACCCTGATCCGCATTGATCGGCGTAGGGACGTTTCTGATACTCGCATCCAAAACTACCAAAAGCTTTCCTGAGACAATGACACCGCGAGTACTACGCAGTGAGAGAGCCTAGAATATTCCTAGAATATTAGACAACCATTGGTTTTCGGGGTTGGGGGGAGAACTCGGCTTCGAGTGCCCGGATGAAGGGATGCAGAGGCTCAAACTCGTAGCAGCGGAAGGCGAGAACACAGTTGTTTGTAGGCTGGATCTAGCTGGGGTTTTCTGGCTTGAGATGGGGTTTGGAGGGTCAGTAGTGACAATGTATGAGCGCTGAGCCTGACCCGGATATCGCCATATCCCAAACAACTGAACAGCTGAAAAAGACGTAGCTGCAGCATCAGACCAGGTGCTACGTAAACAAAGAACAAAGTATATGGGTTGTCAAATGGGACCGAAGATAGACGGAGCGACTTGGAAGAGCTCAACGAAATGAAAATAATATCCGCCCTGTTGTTGAACATGCCGCGGAGTAGACTCGAACCCCAGTTAATGAAACAGATCAACTCGCGTAGGCGGATGATGCTCTGTCAACCGAGGTGGGGACTAGTTCAAGTCTAGCTGCTTGGAGGCTTGTGGGCAACTTTGAAACGGGATCAAAACACTGGGAAAAGGACACTTTATTCTCTACGCATTGTTTATCCATTATAATCACAAGCTTGGGGTTCGATCCTTACGTGAAACGGGTAGTTTTTGTGATATATAATAGTCGATGGTGTGCTCCCTTTCGTTGTTTTTCATCATCCATCATGACGAATAGCAGTGAATCATGGACCCCGCGCTGTTCTATCGAAGAAGGTGAGCGTGGTGACAAATTCCCAGAACATCCGCCCCCTAATTCGAGGAAATACTAGCCGATAGAATACTTACAGGACCAGGGAGCTTGCTTGAAATTGAAACTCGCGTGCGTACTCTTGTTTGCGCCGTATTCTTTCAAGGTCTAAATGGGATATAGATCATTGACGGGAGGGTCTTGAAAGTTTGGAAGAACCTCTGGCCATCCCTGCGACTATTATTTTTGAATTCGACCAAAGAACATGCCGACAAAACCTACATCGTGTACGAGAAAGAGCGCTACACCTTTCAGGAGGTATTGGAGAAGACGGTCAAATGTGCAGCCATCTTCAGAGATGTTTACGGCCTTAGGAAAGGTAATGATACCTTGTCGATTTTTTTCGGCCCTGCCAACCACTCATCGCCATAGGGGATCGAGTAGCGATCTGCTCTCACAATTGTCCAAATTACTTGGTTGTATTTTGGGCTTGCCGTGCGTTCCATCTCTTCATACCTTATTCAAAACCAGCGACTCATGAAATCTTGTAAAATAGACCTTCTGGGCGTTGTAACTGCCTTTGTGAATCCGTAAGTCCGCTTCCCCGTACTTCACCAGGCTCATTCGCATCCTGATCCTACCAAAAGATCACAGCCCTTGAAGCTGATAAGACACTGTATCATGCTCGCAAAATTTGCATTGATCATCCTCGACACCGAACAAGCTGACAGGGTTGAATTGATTGGTGCTGAGCTTATGCTTGCATCTGGTGTGTCGGGATATCTCGTACTCGAGGATCACGAAGGACAAGGCCATTGGGAAGGCATGGATGTTTGGAGTGCAGTCTTCTCCGGATATAATGAAGATCCTGGGGCAATACTGAATGACGATCCTCAAATTTTGCCCGAAGATGATGCAACAATCACTTTTACGTCGGGGACCACTGGCCCACCGAGTCCGTAAATTTTTCTGCACTGGCATAGGTCGCAACGTTCCTTATTTTTTTTGCTTTGTTTTAGAGGCTATCTTGAGCTCACAGCGCTCATTCATGAGTCCAGTATTTGATGTAAGTCCTATTTTTTATGGAGGCGTAGTTGATCTTATGAATTGTACTAGGCTACTTCATTCATAGGGAGAGACTATCTTCGAAGGGGTGAATCACTCCTTTCGACGATTATGGCTCCTCAGGAAGCTACGCTGATTACAAGGACGCTATGCGTTCCGTCTTCATTCATCACGACTGTAAGAGATCACACATCCCTAAATGAAGCAATACTAACCTATCTTCAGATGTTCTCCACTTCTCATGGAGTAAAACTTGTTCTAATGCGTGCATGGAATGCACACGAAGGTACGCATCAGCTTCATTAATATTTCCAATGTTTCCTACTCAAACCTTGCAGCCGTAGCGTACTTACAATTCATTTCATTCAGTGCAATTGTTTTATTAATGAATTGATCATTCTAGACTGTGCACAACCGAAGCCGTCACTATGCTGGGGAGGTCCGTGTTTATCTTTCCATATCCGCTTCAGCTCACTGTGTTACAAGTGTGCCCTCAATCGTGAGAGAGATCGCTGACAATACAACATCCGAATACTCGATAAACTCTATAAAAAGAATTTTATATGGAGGTACCCCGATCGCAGCATCTCAACTTCAAAGGTTCAAACAAGCATTTCCCCTCGCCAGTTTGTGAGTGCATCCTAGTTGCTCTGGTAACGGCTTTGACTTGGTATCCTACAGCGTACAAGTATATGCTCTAACTGAGACGAATGCTTCCGCAGTAGGCTTTGGTAAGGAGTATTTCTCTTGAACAGCAGAAACCTGATCTACTCCCAGGTGGACTGGATTACGATGTGAGGCCAGATAGCTGGTGAGCCACCTGTTCCATACATTTTTGTATTTAAGCTGATTAGGTTCCAGTGGTTTCGTGTCTCCTGTCAACGAGATTATGGTAATGAAAGATGGTGGCAAAGTCGTTCCTGGAACACTGGGAGAAGTTTGGCTTCGCGGTCCTAATGTGATGAAAGGGTATTATGGTGATAAAGGTTGGTCTGAAGATTGTTTTAATTCACTGGTAGACATGTTTATGCCTTTGGATAATGCTTCAGCTGCGACCGATCAGGTGAGATTCGTTACTTATGGGTGCCCGTGGCGACTAAGCTATGATATAGGTCCTTACTAAAGACGGATGGCTGGTCACCGGTGATCTGGGACGAGTGGACGAACGCGGATATGTTTACATCTCAGACAGGATCAAAGATATCATCATTAGGGACAGCGTTAACATTGTGAGTGCCATTGGAAGATGTTGTACATCTCTCAGTACTAACCAATCCATAGGATTCCATTTTCGTCGAGAACTCCCTGTACACTGAACCAGGTGTATTGGAAACGGCGGCAGTTGGTGTACCTGACGAGCACTCAGGGGAGTTGCCTGTAGCGTTTGTTACCCTCAGACCTGGATACGATGGTTTAATCGATGAGGAGAAACTCATAGCGACTGCGAAGAAATTGTAAGTGTAACTATGTTCCGACTCTGGCTCTCAAGTGATCCGTTCGAAAAGGTTACCCCCATATGCTGTTCCGGTGATGATTATTGTCTATGATCATGGTTTCGGTGAGTACCACCTTATTGCTTAACTGAAGATCTTTTTGAATCGATGGTTGGGGCACAGATCACACAACCTCTGGCAAGATTATCAAGGTACCGTTACGGGCCATAGCCCAAAAGGAGTGGGTGAGGAGGACCAAGAAAGATTCTGAATAGAGTAGATGAGGCGAAACCCAATGGTGGTATATCGTTCCATACTTTTGAATACACTCCATCAACGATGTATAGATAATAAGTTTACTGTCGCTTTGGTTCTCATCCTTCAACTACCGAAATATACGATTTGGGATTTTCTATTCTTACGGGCCTTTCGCTCTTCCTGTCACTTGTGGATTTACGACGTTGAGCAGAGCAGACTGGAAGAACGTAAGATTAAAGATGAACATTGCGAGAAGCAGCCCACGGCAGTCCTATTATGAGTACATGCAATGAAAAGTTTGAAAGGCACATAGACCACCCCCTCCCAGTGCGTCGTTGCACTATACGACGGTGTCGCGAGTACAGTTGGTAGATGGTGTGGGTCAATCTCAGGATGTTTTGTATTCGGATTCTTCGTTATACATGTATTGGACCACTTTTTGACAGCAGAACTTGATACAGTGAACGGGGTGTATCTTCAAGTGATTGAGGGCCAAGGTACGAAAGAAAGGATAATGCACTCACTCAAATCAGCAGAGCCCAGTCTCTAATGAGTCCCTTAACGGGGCCTGTCAAATGCACTCTACCTTTCCTCGATTTCTGTCCCTATGGGAGATGAGAGAAGAGCCGTCGTGAAGGTGAACCCACGCACTCTCCTAGACTTAGTTCTACCAAGCAGCGGTCGTACTTTGCACCTCTCTGCATCTTGGCCCACCAGCGCCCTGATCTTGGCGAGTTCAGCTGTACGATTTTTAGCCAGATGAATGCTGGTTAGCGCATCAAAAACAGTCATACTTGGTGAGAGCTGGACACTAGCCTCTTTCCAGGCAAAGTCTATCAGACCTTGGACTGCTGCTTGGTGGCCCCTAGCGATGCGATCATGCTCTTCGGAAGTTGTAGTTCTATCGCGAATTCGTCCACTGGCTGTTGCAGCCCGGGATGCAGAGGCCAGATTGGTGCGAGTCATGGATGCAGTTCCACAGATAACAGAGGCATAGTTGAGACTGGTAGTGGCTTGAAACCGTCTCATAGGAATTCCATTTTGGTTTCAATATGTCTGGAAACTTTCAGCAGACTTGAAACGCAGGCGCACTGGTACCCAAATCCCCGAGGTCGCCATTGTCTGAAAATGGAGTCTTATAATCGTCAAAGCACCATGCTCGAAGAGAGACAAAGGTAGGGAGAAAAAGGCAGTCGTATAGAAGTGGTCGTCGCCGCCCGGCGGCTGATGTTATGCGTTACCTCGAGAGTGAAGGTGATGACGTCTGTACGGGAAGCCACGTGAGCATGTGGACAGCTTGCGCACGAACCTTGACAATTCAACGACTTCATCTTTCTTATTATTCGTACTATTGAAACGACGAGGAACGACCGCATCTGTCCTGTTTCACGTCAAGATAGAGACCGTTATCTGTCATTTCCATAAAGGCAATGCTAGAAGAGCTATGTATCGCGTTCCAAGACTTGCGCACCATCCAATAACAATTCTGATTCTATCACGGCCGGGTCGACGAATTTTCAACAAGTATGTCCAAGGGCAAGGCAGAGTTATAGAATGATTTAACACCGTAGGTCTAGTTTTCATCTCGTGGCTAATCCTTGGTTTTCAGTTCTTGATGAATGGAATGTCTACTTGTGATACGTAACGTTGGATTAAAAAAAGGCTTACTAGAAAGTCTGGTGAGAACCATTCTGTAGTATTTAACTGATTGATTACTTATGGTCACTCCAGGGATCCAGTCTGCAACTGCCAGCCCCTTGTTCGTTCTTTGTCGATACTGCCGAAATAATATTACGACTTTTCTGTTACTCGGGCAAGTTTGAACTCTGGCACTTACACAGTTCAGAAATATCTTCGTATGTCTCAGATCCACCTAACAGGTGTTTTCAAGGCTCGACAGGGAACATTTCTGCACAAGGATACCTCGAGCCATCGACGCAGACCAATGCCACAAGGTTCGCAACCAAAGTGGGTGGCATCTATTGCAAATACGACGCGGTCGACTAAAGAGGATCTTAGGCTTCCTATCAGTGCCAATTTGCCGTTGGCATGACGTCGAGATGAAGCTCGAAATCTTACAGAAGACTCGCTCTGTATGTTATTATATATACACGGCTAAACCTATGCTCACGACATTTATAATTTATACAATGAAAAGGCGCACAACTCGATTCTACTCACGACACTCAATGTGCCGTGGCTACCCACTCAGGCTTCGAATTCGCACGATATAGAAGAGTCTTCCTTGCGGCAGATACTGCATTCCACAATACGTAAGATAAAACTAGCTCGTTATCAATATTAATGAAATCCAGCGTCTTCATTCTCTGGAACTAGCATTAGCGCGTCCGTGCTACCCAATAGTGACGCTTCTACCGATCGAATCTGAATGGACAGAAGTCACATTCTTTCAAGAGCAGCGATGGTTCTATGATTGTTCTAGATACCCGCCGACGCCATCAGACGTCATTGGCCAGGGTTGGTGAATTCCGTTACAAGCCATGCGTGCCACGTTCTCCATCTTTACTGTAAAGCCTCCTTCCAGTAATACCTACCTCGGTATGCTCTTACTATAAAGCTTACAAGGTAACAGTCTTGGTTCAAGAATCGTCGACCATGGCTCTCAGCGACTATCTACCACCCGGACTTGCCTATCTATCCCGAGCCATTCTTTCCGGTGTCATTCTATGCACTGCTCTCTGGGTTATTCAATATGTGTTTGGTCTCAAGCTTCTATTATGGCATTGATTGTTCGTTGCTCTGTCCTTACACCATTTATTTGACCTATCTCGCGGCTGGTTCATGAACTTGATTACTCGGCAGGATGCAGCTGCACAGAATTCCGTTATAATGCCGAGCGTACAGGAAAGCAGTATTTTTGGATACGCGAGTATGTATTTTCCTATTCGTCTAGTGGTATCCCTTTCAAATGATGGCATGTTACAAAAAAAGGTCTTTACAGCGGAGCCACAGCATGCCAAGGTTCGATTTTTCACTGATAATCAACGTCTACAGCTTATTCTCATTCGCACCTTTAGGCCATCCTGACGACACAGTTCCAAAAATTTGACCAAGGTTTGAAGACTCCTAGCTGCCGGTTGTCAATTTTTAAGAAACGATTAAAGGTTCTTTCCCCCCTCACCGCTACCATATCTCTCCTTGGCGCTTGCATTATTAACACAGATGGTGAGAAATTCATATTATATATGAGGGTATTCATTGACCTGACCAGATCTATGAAAGTGAGTTTACTATCACCACCGGTCGTTGTTTCTCATCCAAACGTATTTTTCAGGTTTCATCGGACGATGGCGAGACCGTTCTTCTACAAAGATCGAATTTCCGACCTTGACAACTTCGAGAGACACGCCGTCAATACGATCACCCAAGTCAAAGCAAGGTTGAGAGAGGGTTAGCCCGTCGATTTTCAGGTCAGCTCCCTTTTCCTATTATCTCGATTTGTTACCTTATGATGAACCTAGGATGCCGTTGCCCGCTTCACCCAGGATTCCGCTGCCGAATACCTTTTCGGAAGAGACGTCAATTCGATATCTGGGGGTCTCCCTTATCCAGCTAGATCGGGGAAGAATCGTTTCGTCAATCACCCGTCTAATGTTTTTTGCAAGGCATTTGCAAAGGCGCAGGAGCAAATCGTTGTTCGTTTCTACAGAGGACCGTACTGATCACTTCGCGGAATTCTGGGCAGATGAAATAATCCGCTGAGACATGCCATTGATGATTTTATTCAACCAGCACTCCTCGAGACGCATGGGAAAGCTGGAGGTGTCAAGCTTAGGAAGGATTTCGAAAGCATGACCCTGTTAGACTCCCTTGCGGAGAGCATCGAAGGTAGTTGTGTCTATCTCGGATTGATGTGCTATGCCCAGATTAACAGTGTCCGTAGATACAAAAATCATTCAGGATGAAATCGTTGCTCTGTTGACCGCTGGTAGAGACAAGTCAAGTTCCTCGGAATAATTTATGCTCAAAAGATGTTCAAAAGTCGATCCGAAGATTGTTTTAATTTATGCTTACGGCCCTGGATGATACCGCAGCTACTACTGATCCGATGGGATCTCTTACTTAGAGGTGTCAACTAAGCTATGATATTATATATAGGTCCTTACCAAAGATAGATGGTTGATGACTGGCGTTCCGGGACGAATGGACGAAGACGGATATGTCTCTATCTCAGGCAGGACGAAAAATATCATTAGGGATGGTGTTAATGTTGTGAGTGCCATTTGAGTACGTTATACGTCCCTTAGTGATGAGCAAATCCATAAGATTCCATTTTCGCCGAGAACGCCCTGCACACCGAACCGAGTATATTGGAAATAACGGCAATTGGTGTACCTGACGAGCACGCCCAAAGCATGCCAGAGAATTGCCTGTACCATCAATTATCCTCAGACCTGCGCATGATGGATTAATCAATGAGGAGAAACTCGTGGCGATTGCCGAGAAATTGTGAGTGTACCTATGTTCTCATCCTGGCTTTCAATTACTCCATTCAAGAAGGTTACCCTCATATGTCATTCCGGTCATGATTATTTTGTATGATCACGGTTTCGATGAGTACCACCTTATTGCTTAACTGAAGATATTTTTGGATGGTAGATTGGGCGGCAGATCACACATTCCTGGTAAGATTATCAAAGTGCCTTTAAGAGCCGTAGCCCAGAAGGAGGACGCAGATTTCTTCCGCGTTGGTTCATCTTTCCAGTCTTTTTTTAATATACCATTTTGGAATTTCTATTCTCATAGGCCTTCCCATTCTTCCTGTCACTCGTGGATTTACGAAATTTCCAGAATGTAAGATTGGAGATGAGTCTGCCGACGTGCCAAGTGGCAGCAAACAGACGCTCAGTCAGTATTTATTCTCGACTTTTTATTGCAGGAATTAAACTTGTATTTCTTCCAGACATACAGCAGGACTGGCGGCAATCGGCTTAAACGCACACCCTCGAAATCGTACCTAAACGGTGATCCCATCAGCAGAGCACTCCAGACGTGATGAGGATTTGGGGATGTCCAACCTAGCCAGGCGCGTACCCAAGGAGCCGGTGGGACGAAAGAACGTGTGGTGCGTTACATTTTTCATGTACAGTGTGAACTTGTGATGAACGAACAGAAACGAACACGTATGGCAGTGCCGAGTATTCCGGAGCACCTTGCGGGTGACATGATACGTAACGTTCAATGAGTTCAAAAGAGTTTAAATCATGATGATCATGATGGCCCGTCAATACGGTTCAATGCCCGAATGACTTTTTTAATTGTAGATCAGCTATATATCATTCAATGGCACACTCGAGATGGTTATTTTTCACCCATCATGACGGACAGTGAAACCTGGACCCCGCGCTGCTCTATTGAGGAGGGTGAGCTTCCAAATTGCAGGAAATCTACAAGCAGCATGCTGATTCGAGGAAATGCTAGCCGATAGAATACTCACAACACCAGGAAACTTGCTCGAAATTGAAACTCGCGTTAGTACTCATTGTTAACCGTGCTATTCTTTCAAACTGAATGCGATATAGATCATTGACGGAAGGGTCTTGAAAGTCTGGAAGAATCTCTGGCCATCCCTACGGCACCTCTTTTTGCATTCGACTAAAGAGCACGCCGACAAAACTTGTATTGTATATGAGAAAGAGCGTTACACCTTCCGAGATATATTGGATAAGGCGGTCAAATGCGCAGCCATCTTCAAGGATTTGTACGGCATTAAGAAAGGTGAGGATATCCTATTCTTTTTCGACGCCGCCAGTTACTGACTCTCAATATAGGTGATCGAGTAGTCATCTGCTCTCACAATTGTCCAAATTACTTGGTTGTATTTTGGGCTTGCCGTGCGTTCCATCTCAATCAATAACGAGGACTCGATCTTATAACTTGAACACAGATCTTCTGGGCGCTGTTACCGCCTTTGTGAACATGTAAAATTTGCATCCACATGCTTTCATTGTCTGTGTTCTGATCCTACCAAAAGATCGTTGCCATTGGAGCCGCTCCGACACTGTGTCACGCTCACAAAATGTGCGCTGATCGTCCTCGACACCGAGCGAGCCGACGGGATCGAATCGATCGGTGCTGACCTTATGCTCGCATCCGGTGCGTCAGGATATCTCGTACTCGAGGATCACGAGGGAAAAGGCTACTGGGAAGGCATGGATATTTGGAGCACGGTCTTCGCCGGATATCGAGCTCCCAAAGAAATTGACGATCCTCAAATCTCACCTGAAGATGATGCAACAATAACTTTTACGTCGGGCACTACTGGCTTACCCAGTACGTAGTCGGACTGGTTGCACGACTCATCAATGACGTTGTCTGTTCAAGAGGGTGTATTGAGCTCACAACGCGCGTTCTTGACTCCTCTCTTCGATGTATGTCCTCTTTTTTTGTGCACTATTTTCATTGATCTCATGAATCGTACTAGTTGATTTCGTTGGCAGGGAGAGACTGTGTTCGACGAGGCGAGCCATTCCTTCCGACACCTAGTGTAGGTTGTCAGGAAGGTTTTATCATTCCAGGGCTGCTGTCGCAGACTCCTCTAATCCTCTCAGCTGTAAGACTGGCGGCTGACATGATAACTTACCAATATTCACTCATCTTCAGGTGACGTGCGCTCTTCAAGGACACAAGGTTGTTCTAACACGCACATGGAATATACATGAAGGTAAGAATCGGCTTTGTTATTTTAAGTTCTAGTTCTCACTCAATGATTGCAGTTGTAGAGTAATGACATGGTTTTCATTCAGTATCACTTTCTTACTAACTAATTGATAGACTCTGTCAAGCAGAAAATATCATTCGGCTCGGCGGGTCTGTGTTTACTGCGTTTTCCTGTCTCCTTAAATTAACAGTGTTGCAGGCCGCCCTCAATCATTAGAGTGCTCGCTGAGAGTGCGATATCTAGAACTTCGATAAAACATATTCTATGCGGAGGTGCTCCACTCGCAGCGTCTCACCTTCGGAGGTTTAAACAAGCATTTCCTCGTGCCACATTGTGAGTGCGTCCGAGTCGTTCCCTTGATCTGCACGGACTTAGTTACCTTGTAGTGTACAACTATATGGTCTGACTGAGATGAATGCTGCCGCAGCAGGCTTCGGTGAGAATGTACGTTCTTGAACAGCAGAGGTCTGATTTGCTTCAAGCCGGATCGGATTATGATGCAAAGCCAGATAGCTGGTGTGTCTGTATAGTTTATGTCTTTTATATTCCAGCTGATTCGGTTCCAGTGGTTGGGTGTTTCCTGTCGGTGAGGTTATGATAATGAAAGATGATGTCAAAGCCGCACCTGGAGTCCTGGGAGAGATTTGGCTTCGCGGTCCAAATGTGATGAAAGGATATTATGGCGATAAAGGTTGGTCTGAAGATCTCACTGGTGGACAGGCTTACACTTTTGGACGACGCTGCAGCTGCTACTGATAAGGTGAGATCTCTTACTCTGTGATGCCCACGACGACTAATGGTCGATATAGGTCCTTACTAAAGATGGATGGCTGATGACCGGTGATCTTGGACGGATGGATGAAGACGGATGTGTTTATATCACGGACAGGATCAAGGATATCGTCATCAGGGATGGTTATAGCGTTGTGAGTGCCGTTGGAGTACGTTAAACATCTCTTAGTGACGGGCGAATCCATAGGATTCCGTTTTTGTCGAGAACACCCTGTACACCGAACCGGGTGTATTGGAAACGGCGGTAGTCGGTGTACCTGACGAGCACGCCGGGGAGTTGCCTGTAGCGTTGGTTACCCTCAGACCTGCATATAACGGATTGATCGATGAGGAGAAACTCATAGCGACTGCGAAGAAATTGTAAGTGTACCTGTGCTTCGGTTCTGGCTTTCAAAGTGATTTATTTGAAAAGGTTACCCTCATATGCGATTCCGGTGATGATTATTCTGCATGATCGCAATTTCGGTGAGTATCTTATTGCGTAACCGAAGACGTTTTGAATGAGAATTGGCACAGATCACACAAACTCTGGGAAGATTATCAAAGCACCATTGCGGGGTATAGCCCAGAGGGAGTGGGCAAGGAGGACACAGGAAAAGTAGAGGCGAAGCTTATTGTCGCTTTGGTCCTCATCTTTCCAAAAACCACCGAAATATAACATGTGAAATAGAGTAGAAGCCGTGTGAATGACTCTTGAAAACCAGTATTTCCTCGCTTCTTGTGCTACAGGTCCCTCATACAGCTACCAAATGCACCGTTGTATGGTAGCCAATTGTACGGCGGCAGGATTGTGCTCCCCTTTGTTACGCCAATGTGTTCTTCATATCGTATATCGAACGACATAGGCGCGATGTCAAGTGCGACGTGGCTATCATGATAGACTTCCAGAAACCGTTATACGCGTCGTCAGCTGTAACACTGACCTGGGTGCACAATTTAATAAAAACGTATCGCTCAGGATAAAACACACCTTTGGCAAAGATAAGTCAACGACACTGATTCTTGATACATCTGCTTTAGAATCCAAAGTCATTCCGCATCCTACGCCATGGATCATCACCGAAGCTTGGACAACACCTTTGGATGGTAGGAACATGCTGAATATACATTTATTGGGAAAACAGTCGCGTTGTCCATACTTTGCAAAACAACCAAACGTCCTGATCCTGCGATCGAAGACTAGACAGCCCATCTTTCACCACCATGAAGGCAACAATACCGACTCTTATCTTCGCGCTCTCTCTGACCGCCTTGGCCGACAAGATCAAATATAGCCAACTTATCCCGCCTGGAGCGAACGCGATCCCAACCACGTCGAGCAGCTACGACTACTGGTGGCCATACCCTCCTGGGGATGTCATCTCTGCAACCACCACGCCAGCGCCAGCGACATGCCACCAGATCAAACCGTTTCGAGCGAGCGACATTGTCTCGATCTCCCTGCTATCTTCAAGTTCGGACGACACGAACAGCACCACGCGCAGCGACAATTCATCCTCGTCGACCTTCGCCACTCCTACATCATCGGTATCGATCATAATAGCCTCAGCACCTTCCTGCTTTCAGTCCCCTCTTCCCAGCCTGGTAGGCTATCCCAAGAAGGAGCCGAGCGAAAGTAAGATCCGCATATATCTCATACCCGTTCTCGTGGTCGTCGGCGCCATTCTGGGTAGTCTATGCGCGTGGATTGGCTGGGGACGCTTCAGACGAAAAGGCCGGCGAGGAAAGACAGAGCTCGAGTAGGCCCGGCGGACGACTCAAGAGGTGGGGAAGCCCAGTGATACGGCATTTTCATTGAGGGCATAGATAATTAGTTTTACCGGCCGATTTTCCTGAAAAAAGTTAACAGTCGCAAGTCAGCGGAAACAGTAATAGACGCACTCATAACAGTTGGTTTGTCTGTGGGCTATTCGACCATCGGTGGGAAAGGTTCAGTAGTTTCTAAGAGCCTATTAAACTATTGAGAAGGGAAAAAGACGCATATATACAATTAAACGCACCCCGGAGCGAGTAGGTCGGCACTGGACATCGTCTTTCCACCACAAATAGATCTTTCGAATTAAAATAGGCCTTGTGTCGGAGTCAGTCCGACAAGGACGTGCTGATAGGGATGCCGCATCATGCAGACCGGGGTCGACGACCTAAATATTGATCTGCTCCATGAACATCAACAGCAGGAGGTAGATATACGGTACGTACCCCTCGAGATCATTGGGCAGTCGCTGTGTATCCTGACAGCCGTTCACTGTTGGGAGTAGAGAAAGAGAGGTTTTCCATCGCGATATTCATTGGCAATTCGGGCGTAGTAAGAGAAGTGCGATTCCGAGATACTTTACGTACGACGGGGCCTACATTTCCATGACTGAACCCTTCAGTTATCCTGTCATCGTCATGCATAAAGGAGCGACTACGAGCACATACTATCGACAACCGAGTCGCCTGTCCTCTGCACAGAACACCGTTCTCGGTCCCGAGTTACTTATTTCCGGATCCATAATGGTCTCGTCGCCGTCGGTGTTAGCGGCAGATACCCTGGGGCGCGGTTGTCGATAAATTGACATGATGGAAGAAATAAAAGAAAAAATGGCAGCGACAGGCTGTACTTTTGGCCGGCTGTGCATGTTCATTCCCACCCACCACCGTCTTTTTCGCTGATGCCTGGCTTTTCGCTGCCGTGGTCGCGCGACGTCGAGGATGTCACTGAATCGTTGCCTTGGGAGAGGGACGTACCGACACCGCGCTCGACAGTCGGTTTTTTCTACCCACCACCTAATACATCTGCCATCCCACCTTTACCGACAGATATACCCAACAATACTACAATATCTTCTCATGATAACGTCCCTACCGACGCCCACGCTCTTTCACTTCCCCGTAATTCGACTCTTCAAGTGCATGAAAAGGCTGCGCAGGATACCCTCCCCTGTCTGCCACCAACGACCGTTTTCCAGACATTCATTCTCCTTTTATTCTTCTTGCCGTTTCCGCCGCTGTTTTCCATCATATATGCGGCCCTAGGGTGGGCTATTCTCCGTGGGCATGTCCCAGTCAGATCATTCGCAGAGGCAGGAGCGACTGGGGGCATCATACTGGCACTACCACTAGCACTCGCAGTTTGGATACTGCTGGCTCCAGAGAAGCAGTCCCATAGAGAGGACTTTTTTGACGACGATGAGCCTCAGACGTGGTGGACTCGCTGGGGCAAGTTTGTGCCGTGCGGGTTTATGCTGGTCTTCGTCGGCGTCGCTGCCTGCCCGTTGGGCGCCGTTTGCATTACGCAACAGGATAGCAGAAATTTGGAAGCAGGGAAAGCAGCATTGGCGGCATTGATTGGTGGGGTCGTTTTCTGTGGTGGTTTGGTGGTCATCTTCGCATTGGGGCTTTTGTTGTATTCGCAATACGTGAGGAGGAGGAAGTGGTGAGCAGTGTTCATTACTCTCGTATATCTTCTCTGATTTCGTTGCTCAGATTGCAACCAATTTTTTATTGTTGTAATCTATTGTACGTGCCCATCTATCTTCTCGGTTTTCTTCCCTCTGATTTCTCTCCAGCGTACATATTTAGAGGGATTTGTACTATTCGCTGTTGTTGTATCGTGGACACTGCTATCTGCTTTGCATTGATTTCTTGAAACGTGAACTATATCCCGGCATCTGTTTGAAGCGCCCGGGACCCTTACCAAACAGTTTCAAAACGATGGGATGCTGCGCCAGCTATACTCAGACGCGAAAGGTCGCAAAAAGGACTTGCCGCCAAGGAATATGGTTGCATCGACATTGAGTCCGGCACGTACATTATAAATTTTCGGAAACTTCAAGCCTTACCTAGATAGGGAAGAAATCCGGACATAGGTCCATAATGACGTGCCGGCATTTGATGACGGGTTTGCTTATTAGAAGAAAAGTACGACCTTCTTGGGACATTCCTTGCCCTTTGGGCGGCGACGTGGACTATTTATTGGGAGCACACGCCCCTCGTTTGTTCAGTGCTACCTACCTAGACGGTTGAGCCCTTGCTCCCGTGGTTTCTTTTCTCGGCTGGCCAACCGTGACGAAGAATAGATGGACACAGCAATCAACTGTCTCAAGGAGATCTCGTCTCGACCTTCCGAGGCTGGCGAAAGCTATACAAGGTCGGTTGATGATGGGACCCGCATTTATGTGAGTAGCCAGGAAAATCGTATTAGTGATATCGCACTGACGACTCTCCCTCAGGATGCTATTATGGCCAACAGGCATCATGAAGCTCTTCTAGAAGGGGGGGGGGCACAAACTGGATCAATTGCACTGTTGGATGCTGCTCACCGTCGAGGCCCAGAAGGTGCACAAGTGCAAAATGGCTTGGTCCTGTCGGTCCGCGGAGCGCAACAATCACGATCCGATCCCAGACAGGGCCCTGGCCACGCTTGTAGATGAACTTCTAGCACTGCCTACCTCCCAGCGCCTTCCCGCAGCATGGACAGTTCTGAATGCTCCAGTTCGAACTTCCTGGCCAATAGACTCAACAGGTCCTTCAAGGTGACCCAGTTCAAGTTGTTGGGCAGTGAAGATCACATATAGCATTGCCGACTGTGAAGAGGGGTGCCTGTGAGTTGGTCATCGGACGGGCGTCTGCGGTGATATTGAGTCTGCGTCAGGGACGTGCGCATACCCTGGATGACCTTACTAAATACCTGTGCCGCTGGGGAATAAGGCTATCGACATGCAGGTGAATTCGTGCGCGAGATCGGCTGCCGAGAACGATGTTCAGGACAACCGAACTCATTCCTTACCGACTCTAGGGCTTTCAACCGAACATCGAGGACTTTGCGAGCTATGTCGAAAGGCGGCGACAGAAACAGCAAAGTCCTTCGAGCCGCTCTCAAGCATGGAGGTCTCATCTGGCGATTGGCAATGGAGGAAGCGCCGGAAGAGTATGTGATATCTAGCCCTTCCCCGAAGGTAACAAAAATCGGGACTTGCTTTCGAACTACGGAGGGCGAGTTACTATGGAATGAAATGTTGACGGAGGACCAGATAGATGTTATTTGCGGCGTGTACAAGGTGGTGGAAAGAGAGGAAGATCTCCACCCTAAGGATGACTGCCGAGGCAAGCTGACGGAGCGTGTGTCCTGGGCTCCGAAGAACACGAGTTGGCGAGGTTGTGGGCTCGATGTGGGCTTTTGGAGTCCCGATGCGGAATCTTGGTATCAAGGTCGGCTGGTAAGATATCTTAGTGGAGATTTCAAGTGCGAAAATCTGAAGAGGTCATTGAAACTGAGGCGGGATGCCTCTAAAGTCGCGGAAGGTCTGTATCACAGAGTTTTCTTCAGAACCATGTACTGCGTCGTTGTATGTGGCCTGTCCTTGTTTGCTATTTCCGCATCTTCTTACAAATCTTTAAAATTGCTGTCCAGCTGTTCTGGTCGCCTACGGTCAGTTTCCCCACATTGCCCTTTTCGATCAGCATCCATCTCTCAAGCTGCGTAAGTCATAATCTCCTCGTACAATTGCATGTTCTTCCATTTTGAGGCATGTCTCTAGTCCCGCTAATGTACATTTGAGGTCCCCTTCGGAATTTACAATTCTCTTTACCCAAGCTGCTTTGAGAATTGCTGGTGGATTTTGTGCATAAAGCAAACAATCCATGCGCGTGATATAGATGTCCACCACTTTCCAGCACTAAAGTCTGTTCTTCTCCTCGTACTCTGATTTCCACACCCTGGGAGGATTTTCTTGATGTTCTCACCAAGTATACTTGACCAGTGAACGTAAATATAGCAACAGACATTTCCAGTGAATCAGTGCCTTGCCTCCTCCCTGACAGAAAGCTCTGTAAAATGATACAGGCCGTTCCATATACAAGGAATACTCACGGCAGTCGCAATAAAGGGTGCCACCATATTCTACTGATTTTCCGGACAGTATTACGCCCATATTTCTGGACAACGCCAAATAGCCTGCCCTCATGTCATCACGTGCCCTTGTAGCACCCGCCCTTCGTTGTCCTTACAACGGAATACCCAATATGCGCACCCTGACTTCTGTGAGTCCCCGCTTACTGCCATATCGAGTTCAAGTGTTTACGATTTTCACAATGGAAGGACTTCATCCCCGCCTCAGAGTGCACAGCAAACTGGGCCGCCGACGACTGGTACGTGTTTTTTTTTTTTGCATAGTGGTGAATCAGAGATTGATATTCCTTTAGGTTCTCCTGTAAAGCACCAGACCAATAACTAGTTTACTTCGCGTAAGGTCCTGGCGACAGAGCGTCGGAAAAAAAGGTCGGAAGAAATGGAGGGTCACTAGATTGGACCCATGCCGGTCGAACTTTTTCTTGACGACCTGATGGGCTCGTCTGACGGCCCATTCACGCTTCGCTCCCCGGGCCATCTTCACGACAGCTTTCAGTCGATCCAATCACCCGCCAAGTACGACAACGAGAGGGAGTACGCGGAAGCCGTCGTAAGCTTATTCACTACCATTCACCTGCGATGCCTTGATGATGCCCCACAGGTCAATGTTATTCAACTCGTAATGCCAGATCTCATGCCACTCTTCAAACTTGTCCTTGGGAAGGAGTATAAGGATGCGGATTTGACCACGAGAACCGTCACCGACGCATTCATGTATCCCTCCGACGTCGACACTCGGTCTCATCGCACTCAATGGAGTAAAACGGAACTCTGGTTGGAGTTCAAGAGCTGCTTCTTTTTACGGGTTCAAGGATGACAGTCCTGATGAATGGGTGTCTCAGACCGACTCGTCAAAGGATTGTCGCGGTCAACTTGCTGGCTACGTTGCCACTACGTTGAATGTGCAACATCGAAAATACTTGTTCTCGCTTAACCTTGATCCAGATGGCATCCGGTTCTTCAGATGGGAGAGGACATACACCATCGTATCGCGTGCATTCAATTTATCGACAGAAGAAGGCAAATACCTCGTCGGATTTCTCTACCGGTTTTCCACCCTGACGGTCGGTGATCGACCAGATAACCACCTCCGACATGTTTATCAACCATACCTGGAACTTTGGAGCCCATCCATCTCTCATCTGTATCCGTAAGCACCAGCGTTCGCTGGCGGACGCTGACGGTAGAGGTTGGACACCCTTTGAAGAAGTTCAAGTCCTCGAAGCAACTTACGAGAGTTGTCTACGAGGCTTTTTTGGGTGAGTTATGATACTGATTTTTCAAATTTATTCATCTAATTCAATTCAATCTTAGCTCATGAAGGTGCCTTCACATTACGCGAAATTCTTCATTGTGATGTTAGTGGCAGGATTATTTTGATCGTATATGACAAGAAAGCGCCGGAAGATGTCCGGTCATGGTTGAACGATTGGGATAAGGCTATTCGCATGGACGACTTGGACAAACCAGCGCGACAAGTCGAGCGCACGGTCAATGCTCACATCTTACCTGATCTTTCTCCCTGTCTCATAGTGCATAGGGCACTTGGCAATTCATGTCTATTGCACTTCTTCGCGAGAGAGACAAGAAGCACGAACAATAAGACGACTTTGAATCCTTCATATATGTCATGCTATATCATAGCCTCCGCTACTTGTCCCATAATGATGTCGGCCCCGGTCTGCGGAACAAAATTGCTACCACCTTCGATGTCGCTTTAGATGTTGGGAATGGGCAATGGGTCGGGGGCATCGCGAAGGCAGCTCTGGCCCAGAGTTTGACACATTTACGTCCCGATTTTCGGTTTGATTGTGGTCCGTTCAATGAGTGGATCAAACATACGCTCCGTGCCATTAACCAATGGCGAATCGCCCAAATTCAAAAAGCATGGCAGTCAGAGGTCAGCACTGTCAGCTTGGACACCGAACCCGCTGTCGATTTAAAGAAGAAACCTGTTTTCCACGATCACAGCCCTCTCCACGTCTTTTGACAAGCAGTACTGAAGATGGATGGATGGCCTCTAATAATCAGGCAAAGTATCAGCTGGAGTCCAGAGGCAACAAGCGGCCATCCGAGGACAGTGCTCAGCGGGCGCCGAAGAGGCGAAAGTCTGGATGCTTCACACCTGCGGCTGCCTCAGATAATGCCGCAACTCCAGCTTAGGGTGCTCGTCGTTAGACTTGCGACAGTGGATTTTTAAGACGTTCTTGCGCGCATTACTTTGTACAGATAAGCCATATACTGTAGAGTATACACATGTCGATATATTTCTATCCTGCACTTCGGTGGAAGAAAAACAAGCCTTCCATGGTCTGCCGGTCCGTATTGTTTGCTGCTGCTACATGAAAGGGCAAAAATGTTTGGATGGATGTATATATTTCTATCACAGATTCGGTCCCTTTGTCCACCGTACACCGCGTGCGCGGGGTCGGTGCCCCTGCGTAATACACCGTAAGGGGCGAACAGCCATTACACTATGATTGATAAATTACTCGGACAAAAGGGAATAAGATCACCGAGGACATCCAACTTAATTAACTTGCATGCTTTTCAAAAACCTTTTCACACCAGTCGCGTGTGTGTGCTGGATCCGAGTAGTCCCATCGATATGGTGGAGTTGAGTCATGGCGCACGGTTTATCCCTGTCTACCATCTTCGCCACTGCATCCAGCATTATTGTCAAAGCCTCTTTGTTCCGCCCGTCCAGCACATCTGGCAGAAGCACGACTAGCCTCACTCCAGTATGCACCAACGTCTCAATCTCCTCTGTCTTCTCTGCACTCATGCTTTCATTGTTATACAGTTCCGGTAACCATGTTTGCATGTTGGCATAGTCATCCCTCATTTCGGACTAACGAGCTTATAAGAGTGGAAGCACCGCAACAAAATTGTTCTACACGTCTCAATCTTACATCCTTGACTTCGCTTTGTCCATCTGTCTACGAACCCACTCTTTCTGCGCTGTTACCCGTAACCGCGCCTTAATAATCTTCCCAGACGGCGTATGATCTGCTCGCCTTTTAGAGTGGGCACATTTGGACATATGCAAACCTACCAAACTCTCCGTCCTGCAAAACAATCATTACCGGGATAGCGAATTTTGGCAACCTACTTGCGGGATAAGAAGCCGCAAATCAATCTTGAAGAAAGATCACTTACAACTTCCTCGCAGTCTCCAAAAGTTTCTTCTCGGTGATCCTCCCACGATAGCTTGGTTTGAGAGTGACCAACGCGGTCACCAGCTCGCCCAGCCGTTTATCGGGCACGCCCACCGCAGCCGCTTCCAGAACACCAGGTTCGGTGTACAAGGCATTTTCCACGGAAACCGAGTCCTGCGAATCTCGTTTGTTCGTTATTGCAGGACATTAGGAGATTATTGCCCACTCACGACATTCTCCCCGCCACGGATAATGATATCTTTGATCCGGTCTTTAATGTATACATACCCTTCTTCGTCGACGCAGCCAAGATCTCCAGTCATTATCCATCCATCTTTAGTCAGAACCTATTTCCATCAGCCCTCGGGCACAAGCAAGCTGTCACCTGCATACCTTGTCAGTAGCCGCTGTGGAAGCTCGCCGTAAGCTTGTTTACCTAAAAGTCACAGAATATGCTGAAACAGACCTTGATCTCCATAATAACCTTTCATCATGTTCGGACCACGAAGCCATATCTCCCCCACCACACCAGAGGCAGCTCTGACATTATCTTTCATTATCAAAATCTCGTCGACAGGCATTACAAAACCACTGAGATCGTATTTAGTTTGATGTTAGTTAGCCAAGACACGATGGACTGACCAGCTTTCCGGTTTGACCATACAATCCAGTCCACCTAGGAAAAGTCAGGTTTCTAGAAAGAGGTTTCAGAAGGGGATTTCTCACCGAAACCAACCGACGTGGCATTGGTCTCGGTGAGACCATAGGCTTGTCCGCTGTAAAATGTTAATCATTGCTGAGTATACAAGGGAGTGAGAACATACATTGATGCACGTGGAAAGGCTTCCTTCGACTTGCGCAGGAGAGACGGCGGGACCGGAGCCCCACTGAATGTGATCATTTCCAAGGGAAAACCAGACAATGGGCTATCAGCCAGGTCGCTTATAGTTGATGGAACACTGCAATTGTCAGCTGGATCTGTGATGTACAACAGATACTATTGATGTACCTAGCCAGAGAGATAACGCCCTCTTCCCTGCACAATCTGCAGTCGAGTCGTTGAATGTGGCTCTCAGAAATACAGAGGACGGATGTACCTTGCAGCTGCGAAAACCAATGTTAGAAATACAGCTAGAGCCTGAGTGATAAAGCCGGCGATCACCTTCTGCTACGTTCCATTTTCGCATTAAAATAATCTTCGTCCCATGAAATGTTCCGGAAAGCTGAAGAAAGTTAGGCTCTCATCCATTCGGACAGAGAGTGGGTTTCTTACAGTCGTGCTGGTTCCAGTGACATGGAACAATGATGCTGGAAGCAGGACACCATTCTGCGTACTTGATACGGGTGAAGAAGGGACTGGCAGGCCTCTCCGAATGTAGTCTCTTCCGAAGATCAAGGTTAACTGAAAAGTCATATATGAGAACAAACATGCTATACTAGAGTAGCACCCCACGTTAAACAGCGACGTCAGAAATGCACGTTGTGAACTCAGGACGCCCTCTATCAAGAAGAAAGGAATCAGTGGACTCTAAAGATGAATCCACAAGACATACTTGGTAGACCAGTAGTTCCCGACGTAAAGATGATCGTCGCGTCATCCTCTGGCATAATGTGGGGATCGTCACGCAGTATTTCTCCTGGATCCTTGTAGTACTGGCGGAATACTTTGCTCCAAACATCCATGCTTTCCCAATGACCTCTGCCCTCATGATCCTCGAGAACAAGATACCCGGATGCGCCTGTTGCGTGCTTAAGATCAGCGGCTATCGGCTCGACCTGCTCCGCTCGCTCGGGATCGAGGATGATCATTGTACATTTTGTTAGCATAATACAATGCCTGAGGGGGTCCAATGGCAGCGATCTGTTAGGTGGATTAGTACGCAAGCCTTGAAAGCATGTGTGTGCCTGTAGATCTTACGCGTTCACGAGAGCAGTTACAGCTCCCAGAAGATCTGTGCTGTCAGGTTCAGTCCACTTTTGTTAAGGCATAATCATACCACGTACGGCAAGCCCAAAACACGATGAAGTAGCTCGGAACGTTTCGAGAGCAAATGACAACGCGATCACCTGTGTTGTAAGTTGAGTTTGGCGGTACTGAGGACAACTAGACTTCCTTACCCTTCTTAATACCGAAAACATCTCTAAAAATGGCCGCGCATTTAACAGACATTGTTAACATTTCCTGGAAGGTGTAGCGTTCATTCTCGTATATCACACAGGATTTGTCGGCGTGCTCCTTTGTCGAATGCAAGAAGAATGCTCGCACAGAGGGCCAGAGATTCTTCCAGACTTTCAGTACTCTCCCATCGATAATCTATGTCACATTCTAATGATGCACGGGAACGCTGAAATGCTGGCCACTCACCCGAGTTTCGATTTCGAGTGGGCTTCCTGGTCTTGTGAGTATTTCATCAGCTAGCAAAGGTAGCATCCAAGTTAGCATGCAGATAGTAGTATATGATAGCAGACAAACCTTCCTCCACAGAGCAGTGCGGTGTCCAGGCCGTTGTGTCTGTCATGGAAGAAAGATGGACGTTGAAGTTCTGAGACCGGTTATTAAGAAGCCGAACTGGGACGCTTTCGTGGATCATGCGACTGAAACGTTGTGGCTGTTCCGGGACTGCGATAACCGCCTTTTCTCGTCATTCGGCTCTTCCTTGGACGTTTTCGATAGTATCCCCGAGAGCCGTTTGAAGGAAGCATCCGCGGATGCAAAATCGAATATGTCTCAGGCTCTCACCGCCTGGCTTTTTCAAATTCAACGCCACGAGAATTGCAGGCCGCCATTCAGGAACAAAGAATTGCTAGCGAGGCCAGCTGGGAACTTCTGCCAACACCTCTTGTTAGCAATATCCCGCGCGGGCTCTGAAATTTCAGGACCACGACGAGAAGATGAATTCAGGCGGCAGTTGCTAGCTGTGAGCTTCGGCTTGTCAGCATTTAAAACTGCCTGCTCGGGAATCCTTGACAAGTACATCACATGAGGCTATCAGGCGGCTTGTTAATCTGTCCAGCAGGGGTTGGGCTAGTCTGGCCGGTAGGTTGATGCGTAACCAAGCTGGAAGGGTGATAGTACCGGGCCGACGCATCTTCCTGTGTTGAGGTTATTGTGCTGAACTGTGAGAGGATAAACGAATCAAAGTACGTGAAAATACAAGGACTCTGATGAAGCAAAGAGAGTGCGGGTTTAATGAGATATCCATTGGAATAGGTACTCCCTAAGTAATCTGCGATACAGTCAGAAAGAGGAGAACGTGTCAACTCTGCTTTTATCAGGATTGAAGAGATGCATTTTCTGAACAGTAGCCGAACGTAGACGGACTCCGTCGACCAGGGTAACCCGAACGGACGAATGCAAGATCTTGACGATTCCGTTTTCGTTTTATGATACTGAATACATGGCATATACTGGGCCCTTGTCGCTGATTTGAGCTCGTAAATCTTGTGACGACGACTAGAACGTTGAGCAGGAAAAGAACATGATAGAATCAAGCAACGCACCTTCAGCCCTTCAGATTCTCAGCCAACAGTACCATTACCCTCCCATTATCGCCCTACAACCATACAGCTTTTCCACCAGCGTTGCCGTTCCATGACAGAATTGAACAATATCAAGCGTGATGAGAGACTGTACGATTCTTGTATACCACCCTCCACACGGCTTCTTTATAACTCTACTGCTAGGCAGTTGTTCGACGTCACAGTTATCGACGAGCAGGTTTATGCTAAAGTACATGTTCGTGGCAGAGTGAAGGCAACGCGAGAGTCGACGTAAGAGTAAAAAGGGAAATCAGTGAATTTCAAACCGCGTTGCTGGTTTCGACCTTACCACCACCTCTTCCGGGTCATAGAGACGAATTCCTTCTTTCCCACTCCGTACGCTCTATGTATTGAGATATGGACTGCTGCCTTGCACTAGATTATTCTGTTCAATCCAGATGCATCATCAGATAGAATTAACAAGTATACACCGGAGTTACCAACTTTGAAAACTGAACTGTTAATTCTTAGCCCCAACGAATGACAACTATAACTCGGTTAATGTTTTCTCCGCCTAACACTTAGGTATGGCAAGGAGGTACTTGTCAACCGCCAGCATCTTGCAGAGCCTCGATTTGAGAAAGAAATTCATCTGCAATGTCCAGCCGCACAGTGTAGGCTGCACGATAGCCACTCCTAAAAGCCTCGTATACCTGTCCACCTCGTCGTGCTAGAGGAAAATGCGGATCATTGGTGATGTACGCATCGACAAGCTCGTCGATAGCAGTCCGTTTCCGCATCTTGCAACTTGGTATTAATGCCAATCAGCGGGAAAAAAAAAAAGGCGACGTACGAACCTGATTAAAGTCAATGACATAGAACGCAAACCCAGAGAACCCATTCCCGCCGAGTACGAACTCGATGTCGCGCATCGTAGCCTCCACAAATGTGAATGTGCCCGAGCATGTTGCCCATGGCTTCGGCGACGGTTTCTGTGCATGGAAGGTCATCGGCAATGCCCTCTTCGGAACTGGAAAGCTGGCCGTAGCGTGTTACGTCGAGAAAGAAGTGTTGATGAACCGGGATGGTCTAGTGTTCATAAAATCTTTCCCAAAGTAGAGTCGAAACAACATCGGTCCCTCGGCAGGGACACCGGCGGGTTAGAACTGTGAACGAATACAGGCGGCGACCCTCCGTAGATAAAGCCTGGACGCGAACGAGGCAGACGTCAGAAGGGGACGTGGGCGACCTGTTTGAGGAGAGCGGTATGCCGCGGCGCGAAATTATTGTGCGTCCCTGTACGCAAGTGGGCGGGGGCAGAGAAAATAATGAGTCGGAACTGCAGGTTTTGTAGACCTGCTCGAGGGCCTCAAATTCGGCTCGAAGTTGGGCTGCATTCGATTCCAGCTAGACTTCCTTGAAAGTAACAAGCGAAGCGAGGATAGTATATACAGACCCAAAGCTGCCGCTCCCTATCAGCTGAGGTGACGAGTCCATCGCGGTAAAGGACAAGGGTCCGCCGAGTATTTCCGGTAGCGGAGTCATTGCTGAGCATCCGGCATGCAATGGTGCCGCATTGGCAACATTAATAATGAAAGTTCCAGTTACATGAAACGTTAGAAAATTCCCCATCAACGATCATGGCCTTTTCTCGTAGTGCTCAGCCGACTCTTTGTCGCCTTTTCCTGAAGTCTCTCTTCCTGTAAGCTCGCCCGGAATAAAGTTGCCTTTCACACACATCAGCATCCCATGGTTTTGAGCAGTGCAATGGGATTACCTGCACGAAGATCGTTCTCTGCTGCGTGTCGGTCGCTAACCTTGGTGTACCCGCTCCCCGGTACAAAGACGGGAGAGTCCTCGAAGAGAGCATCCATTTCTTCTAGTCGGCGCCCGCTTGTTTCCTATGTATATCTGTCAGTGAGTGGGCTTGAATATATTATACAGTGTGGCTTACGGGATAGAATGCCCAGATACACAAGGCACTGATTTCGTCAGTAACGGTCACCGTGACTAGTTGGTATGGTGGGACTCCTACTTTGTATGACTGCATATGGCAAAGACCAGGTCTGACATCGCAGTGAGGATACCTGCCGAGAACTAAACAAACCATAAACGTACAATATCTGGCAGAAACGTCCTTAAAACGGGACGCACGAATAAGAGCAGGAGACTTACTTCCAGCCAATTGCACCGAACGCTTTAGGCGTGACCTCAGCGATGAAGCTTAAATAGAAGGGTGAGTACAGACATTGAAAGCTAAGCTCACGCTCACAAATTTGAAAGCCACGAAGAAGAGCTTGTCAATGCGGTTGCCTTGGCACGCGTGCGCGTCGAACTGAAGGGCATGATCGAAATAGATTCCATTTCCAATGGAGAAGACGCACTATATTTCGACGGGGTACGCCCACGATAGCGGCCCGATGCAAGAACTGAAGAAAAAGTTAAATATCCATGTCCTAGAAGTGACTATTAGCAGCGATTCGCTTAAGCATAACCAAAAGACCGTACGTTACTAGAAAACGATTTTTTTTCATCGAAGAATCAGCAACATCATGAAAGAGACCGCGTACTAATAAATATCTAGACGACACAGGAGGGTCATTTATGTCAAATGTTGCCGACATAGGGACTCACATAATGAGCCTGAAAAAACACAGGTTATATTCACCTCAAGGTCAACGTGTTTGACAGAGAAGGAATACACATACCGCGTCACTGAAGAGTAATGAGATACCCAGACCCGAGATATGATGCGGGAAAACTCACTTATTAATAGAACCAGGATATCGAGCCATCAAGACACTGCCAACGACGAAAGAAAGTCCCGAAACGACGTTCCCTACGATAAGCGGTCTGCGTCGCCCAAAGTGATCCACCCAAAGCACACAGCAAGCTTCTCCGATAAGGGCTATAATGCTGTTGACGGACTGAAAGAGAAGAATGCGGGTCGAGGAGAAACCCATCTAGTAACGAAAAGATCAGGCGGGGAGATGTCCGAGAGACAGGCTGTGAATCTACCGTCGTGAAGATCTAGAAACGTAATGAATAGCTGGGAGTTGTAGAACAGATAAAATCCGTATCCTCACAGTTGTGGAGTAGTATTGGATCGCACTGACTCCCGTCATCTGGACAGAGAATTGCAGGACATATCCAAGACTCAATCGTCGGAAGTTGCTAGGAACGGTGAATAGTTCGGACCACCTGTTCGACATCAATCACAACAATTTAGACACAGCGAAGACGCTCTTACGTGGACCCGCCGATATCTTGCGCCTTATGTATGTCGGCTCTAATGTCTTCCATCTGGGCAGTAACGAACGGGTCATTCGTATCTCCATGTGCGTGCAGACGTGCCAAACATATCCTGGCTGCAAATCATGAGCGAATGAAAACTTAAATGTATCCACTCCTTCTACCTGTTGGATTAGCAAGCAGGAGCTCCGTCGTATCCCGCCGGCCAAGCTCGATACCCCTTTATGTCGGGATGGACTATATATATTGAATACGGTCTGTCGAGCACCCTCACCGCGTTTCTGCTTATCGCTACGCTGTGTGAGGTCTACGTTATAGCTAACAGCATAATCTATTAGGTGCTACAAACGCGCGTCACTTTCTTAGAGGTTATACGGCCCCGAGAATTACTCTATCCCATCCTTCGTACTCAAATGACTTCCGCCATTGCTGCCTTGACTACAGGCCTACCAT